ATTATTCTTATAATAAGATAATAATTATAATTTGATTATATTATCTAATAATTTAAAAATAATAATTAATTATAATTTGTTGTATATTAATATATTATTTTCCTATTTTAATATTGTATATATTTTGTAAGTTTTGTTTTGTAAATATTCTGATTTCTGATTAAAAGTATTTATTTTAACATTTTTGTTCCCTTTGATATATGAAATTCTGAAATTATAAATTACCAAAGTCTTCGATTATCTGATTTACTATCGATTTAATTCCTTTATTATAATAAAATAAACCAAGTTTTTATAATTTGTATATATTTGTATTATATATTTTGATCTTTTCAAATATATTTTTTATTTTCTAAATATATTCATTATTGTTAATAGTTTCTTATTGTATATCTTATAATTTAATTTGATTAATAATAACTTTTATGAATAATAGACAATTGATTGTTATTTCTTATTCGAACCGGATTGACTTAATACAATTCCTATTATATAATCCGAAACATCTGTTTTTATAGTTATTGGTAATTCTGAATCGAAGACTAGAAGAATAGATTCCTTGATAAAGGCTTCTTTGAGATCCTCGAATACTTTTTATATTTATAAAGTCTATTGGAACTCCTTTTGATTCTTTTTAGTGATTTCCGATATTGAGATAACTATCTTAGAATAATCCTTAATAAATCATCAATAGAAATTAACGAATCCTAAAAAGGATTATATCTTCTTTATACTATTCAATAATTCCCAATTTTGAATTGTTTTTAGTTTATCAAAGCTTATCTTGAGACTTTCTGAAAAGATTGTGTAACCCAGGAATTCTATTTCTGTAATATAAAATTCGTATTTGTTAGATTTGTATTGAAGATCTATTTCTTTTAAGTATTTTAGTATCTTATATATATCCAATATATATTGTTCTTCTGTTTCAAAGAATACAAGGATATCGTTCAAATAATATATATAACAAATATCCAGATATTCCCTTAATATATTGTTAACTAATTGTATATATATTATTAATACATTAGTTAATCCGAATAATATAATCTGATATTTGTATAATCTATATCGAATTCTGAACATTGTTTTCCATTTTTCACTTTTCTTTATTCTGATTAAATGAAATCCATTTCTTAAATCAAACTTGAAGAAAATCCTTGCTTTTTCTAATCGATCTTTTAATTCTGTAACTAATAAAAATAGATATCGATCCTTAATCGTTATATTATTAAATTTGCGATAATCTATATATAATCTTTTAGTATTATCTTTTTTGGATATATATAATACAAAGCTAGCTATCTATAAGATTGATTTTTTAATTCAACCTTTTTTTAATACATCATCGATATATTCCCTAAACATTCTTAATTCCAATTTCGATATCTAATAGATTAATCCAAATAGAAATGTTTTGCCTTTTTTCAATACTATCTTATAATTTCATAATTTATATTCTAATAAAGCCTTATAGTTTTTTCTTTCTTCAAATAACTTTTTGTATTTCTAATATTGTATCGATATTGATACTCTTTTCTATTTTTGTATAAAGATAATATCAAGCAATTCCTTTTGTTTATTCTTCATTTATATAAAAGATTCATCTTTCTTTGTTATTAATAAAGGATTTTGGATTGAGTATTTTATATCAATGATATTGTTTATCTTCAATTCCCTATTATATATATTCAGCTTTATAAGCTCTAATATATTATAATGATTGCTTTTGTTTGAGAAGTTTATAACTTCAATAGCCTAATCGATTTTGAGATTATATACCTTTAACTATAATATTCCCAAAATGATTTATTGATTCTTTAATAAAATAATATCGAATTAGATGATCTCTTTATATTGATTTATATTCATTTGTATTGAATAAGTCTCCTACGAAATCTTATTATTCAATCCTACTAATTGTTTATCAACTAATTATAATTGATATAAAATCTATTTCATTTGAAACTATATCCCCAAATGCTTTATAATTCCTAATACAATAAAATTTCTTATAATTTCTGAATCGATTATAATTTGGATTTTTTGTTTATTTATCTTGATATTACAATAAACCTATTCTGTTTAATCTATAATATTTAATTGTCCCTGACCTATAATCTTGTTTTGGTCAATTTGATCAATTTGATCGATTTGATCAATTTGGTCAATTTGATCAATTTGATCGATTTGATCGATTTAATATAATTAACTAATTTGCTAATTATATAACGAAATATTTCTTTTCCTTCTTTTATAAAGAAATTATTTTATAGTTTCTTTATTTAACAAATGAATTCTATAAGAATCATTATAACAAATTGTCCAACTCATCATTGTATATTCTATCGATAATATTTCTTTTGGGTTTTCCTTGATCAAGGGAGATGATAGAATTCGGAGATATTCCAATTTATATCGATTTATTTCATTCAAATCTTTCTGATCTCGAGATATTGTATCGATTTTCTTCTAATATTGTTCTTATTTGTAGTTATCGTCTTCGATTGTATTAAAAGCAGATAATAATGATACAAAGGTAATATTGAATTGATATTTTCCGAATCTGGTTTTCTTATGATAACCTTTTTGATTTTGTGATTTCTTATTTCGATAATCCTTGGATTAATAATCTGATTTGTTATATCTAAAATATAATTTATTCTTTTATTTTCAATCTATCTTCTTTTTAAGTAACTTGTTTCTGAAGATTATATCCAATTGTATTAGATCTTTATACAATTATCGATAATCTCGAAATCTTTTTTTGTTTTTATAATACTTATTACAATCTCGATTTTTATAGGAATTAAAGGATCGATGTTCTTTTTGATATTTGTAGAATATTTCATCTGTCTTGATTGATTTTTCGATTAATTCGTTTAAATCTTTTTAAATACAATTATAATCCAATTCTAATCTGATCTCTATTTTGAGTCTTTTTCGATAATGATTTATTGTAATATTCTTTTCCCATTTTATAATATCTATATATCGTCTGAATTCTATAATATACTTTATTGCTAATCTTGTTTGTTTAAAATTATAAATTTTGGATTCAGTATTGTATAATTCGTTGATATTTCCGAATACTCATCATATTTCCTTTTTGAATCCAACAAACATTTTAAAGATAATTTGTATTAGATATATTCGTTTCTTGGGATCATTCAGATGGATAAAATAATCTTTAAGATAAAATTGAATTTATTTAGAGATTTCTTTTTTGAAATAAAAAGCAACCTAGATACTTTTATTGATATTGTAATAGAACTTGTTCTTATTAAATTCGAAATAGATCTCAAGTTAGAATAAAAAGATTTCCAATTCTTATCGATGATTTATGAATTTGTCGAATAAAACGATTTTGAGGGTTTTGATAATAATAATCTTTTTGAAATCCTTTACTTCTTTTATAACAATATCTCCATCTTGATTTATATTTCTTGAAATAATTGAAATTGGATTACTAGATTAGAAGGTTTGAGAAGATATAATATTACTTCGTCGAGTCGATACTTGAAATAATAATAATACTTAAAATATTACAAAGGATATAATCTAGATTATATAGAAATAGTTTGAATCCTCGAATAATTTATAATTAAACATCAAACAAAAACTTTAAAGTAATATCAATAATTACAATTCGTAACTAATAATAAAGTATACTAAATGATTGATTTTGAATACAAAGCTTCTATATATATGAAACCCTTCTAGTTTATATAGATCTTTATATTCTATAGATTTATATAGATCTACGATTTGTATAGACCTACGATTCGTATAGATCTACGATTCGTATAGATCTTCGATTCGTATAGATTTACGATTCGTATCCTTGTATATGTAGGGTTCATCACGTGATCTTTAGGATCAGACTATATGTCCGAACTTGCTGAGAACGGGGAGACTACATAAGGCGATTACCATACAAATTTGTATACAAATCGCCTTGCTTTTTGATGAGGCCTAAGCTCATGTGGACAGGTTGACTGTTACCTTGTAACATCGAGGCAGTGGCTGCCTGAGGTTTCGTGAGGTTGGTAATTATACGTTAAGGCTATTAATCATTGATTATCCATTTGAAAGTGAATTCGTTACTAAATCAATTGGAATATAAATAAATTAATTGATAATTAAGTTGAATACAAAGTTCCTAAACTATGAAACTATTTTGATTATATATTAATGAATAAAAAGGAGCTTTGTGAAGCTCTAAAACTCCAAAAAGCTTTTGGAGCTCTAAAAGCTTTCCAAACTCCTAAAGCTTCTCATTACATAATTAATTCTAAGGCTTTTCTTTTCCTGAAACATTTATCCCAAAATCTTTCCTTTAGGAACTATTGTTCTAGGATATGATACCCTCTAGGATAATTGTCCTATTACAACCAATTAGCTAGAACACTTGTCTTATTCTAATATAATTGTTTAAGACACTTATCCTAGGAATCTTGGGTTCCTATTCGTAAACGATTAGGCCCCTTGAAAGCAACAGTTAAATCACACCCCCCCTATAATCGGCATATAAATCACCGATATCAATAATACTACTATAATCTAATCCGTGAATCGTGACATGCAGGCCCATAGTATTTTTAAAGAAAATTATTTTATTTTTTATAATCTTCAAAAATTAAAATTATTATTATAAAATTAAAGAAATAAGTTAATTCTCATTTTTATTTTATTTTAAAGATAATTTATAAAAATAAATTTATTTATAAAAATTTATTTATAGATTATAATCTAGTATTTAAAAAATTTCATTACAAGATAAATTTATTATATTACTTTAATAAAGCATTTTATCAATACAAATTTAATTTCTTTGAACTATAACTTAACTTAGAAATGAATTTAAACTTTAAAATCATAGATCTAAAAGATATTCTGCAAATCCCAGCCCTCGTACTAAACGCTAGGCTTGACGCCCGAACCAGACCACTAACATACAAAGTCGACCACGAACGGGGGATAAATATTGCACTTTTAAATAGAAGATAGAGAATAGTTTAGCTTTGAATATAATATGAGGGAAGAGTGTGAAGATGGAGAGAGATATGAAGACGCTTTCAATGAGTGGGGTATGAGTAGCAATTGTGATTGTGACGTAGATTGGATGGATGGGAGGTCAGGGCGTGTGGGAAGAAGTAGTCGTATGGAGAGATTTGAGGAGGGTATGGAAATGATTGGTGATCATGACGAGGAAGGAAAAGGGATAAATAAATAGAAGAGAAAATTCTGCTGCTTTGTACCTGGATCTAATGTAGCTTGGATGTGACAGAATTGACGGTACTTTTTGTAACAGGCACTACTAAGAATCCAAAATACCTGTTCTGTATAGTTGGATTGATGAACAATGCCTTTATTTATTGAGGTGCGATGAATTGGCCTTTGTTCTGGAGAGACCCGAAATAACGCTATGGATGCGGTACTTGATAGCAGAACAGGTGTGAAACAATGTCTTTCTTCGCACATATGAACATCCAGATCTTTTAGACTGACATATAAGAAATACACACGAATACATCAGAAGTGCTAAGTTCCTAGTAAAACCATCGAAAACCCGATTCTCGAAACAAACGCCCACAAAAATGCCACCCTACGTACCTAGCGAAAAGGCATACCTCCTCCATCTCTGCGCCGTCCACGGAATCACGGGAGATCAAATTGCCCCGAATGGGTCATGGCAAAGATTGGTCCAAGACATGGTTGCCGAAGCACCAAGACACCTCGAAGGTGGTGATCTTTTCAATGACGAACCGTGGCCCGTTAGACAATATACGTGGGGGAAAATCCCTTTCAATTGTAGACGGTGGTTAAAAGTTGGGCGTGCCCAGATGCGTGATGCGCATGCTATTGCTGGAGAGAATGACGTGGATATTAGGATGACGTTGGGATTTATACTTAATGAACAGCAGTGACTAAATATGGACTCACGACTTGTGGCTGGACCCAAAGTATCCGGATATAAGACATCTTCCTGATGGACCTGTTGACTTGAGGACCACATGCTACGTAGTTCCTAGGCTGGTCCTAGGTGAGACAGTGCGAAATGAAAAGTTCGTAAGATAGATTTGACTTGATTAACAATATAACAATCGATAACAAGAAACTTCCTGCATTTGAAATGTGCTCTCATGTGAAAATTGTATATTCAATGACGAAAATGATGACTTGCCAAGTAATGGGCCAACGGAAGCTTTATAGTAAGGCTCTAGAAGAAATGACGATGAAATGACTGAAATGATACAAATGTTGAGATGATATTACGAGACTCGTTAAGCGGTGTGATGATGCAGAAACACACCGTATAATTCACCGGCGTCGTAATTAGCCTCCTCATGACAAATTTTGATTCTGCAACTTTTCCAGTACCACATTAGCAAGTCCTGGATCAAGATCAAATGGAAGTAAAAGGCTAACAGGTGTTGCGGTTAACCATATTATTGACGAGGGGGAATGTCGTTCGCGGGATTGGTTGTGGACTAAAAGGCTGTTGGGCATAGAACCTCCAGCCTCTCGCTTCTCCATGCTTATAGTGAGCAATGAGATTTACCACTGCCGTGGAATCGACTATCATGAAGAGATTTGCGAGGCTGATGGAGTGTGCGTTAATATCATTTTGAGAGCATTCGTTGTTAGTGATGGATCGAATAATGCCTTGGGGCCTCTCGAGACAAGCTCTAGGTGTATCAAAAATTGAAATTCTTCATTGATAAAGCAAAGTAGTCATGTCGCGCGATGGTCCCTGGCTCACATCTCGTGCGAAGGACCCTCAGACAACTACTGAGCCGGAAGGTAATTCCCGAGCTCGCAAGGTGATAATATATGCACGCCTTCTAACTAGCATGTTTTCTACCTTGAAATCCTACCTGAGAAACGAGGAGATGTGCCGAAGGAGCGGACGGGCGGAAACTTGTATATACTTCCCCTTCCCCCCTTCCCCCCTTGTAGACCCATTGACCATTTTATAGCGATCAAGCAACATGCTCGGGACCGAACAGTGACGATTGAAAACCCTATCGACTGTGATATAAATGCTCCAGAGATACTCAATAGCTTCGGGTTACATTAGGGGACCTGCGTTGACCGATTGTGTATGGAATATGGAGACTACATCAGTGCATCAGCTCCATTATCAAATTTCCACGTGGGGTTGGCGATAGTTTAGCTGGGACTACTGGTGTAAGGTTAATGCTTGGACCACCTCTGAATCAGGTAATTTCGATATTTGGACTGAGATCCGTCACTAGGATTGGCAGATTCACGAGTTTTCGTCTGAGGTCTAAGGTCAAAAGCTTAATTGAGATAAATCTATCGCACAGAGCTTTGTGGATGAGAGCACCAAGACCTCCCGTATTTTCTTATTGAGCATTTAGAGTAGCTTGTGTTTGTGGAATTGCGGTTTGAGCTCTACAGGCCGTATGATTCTGGTGGTGCCTGCAGGCCTAAAAAGATAATAGTCGGTACCTACTCCCTATCCCTACAGCGGGAAAAAGAAAAGGGAATTGCTTGATTGGGGAAGGGCTTTGGCGGCTTTCTTGGAGATCCCATCCGTGCAGATCTCCCCAGCCAATGATCTAGAAGGTCAATGGTTTTTAGCGTATCTCTCTTATTCAGCCAAATCCCAATCCATTTTGAAAATCTACCCACTACCTAACTACAACAAACTCCATTCATGTCGCCTCCCTCACTCGAGCTTCCGTCTGTCAAGTACCTAGTAAATTACTACAAAATGAAGCCATAATTACTCGAGGCGCTGCGTAGGTAGCGAAATACCATTGCTATTAATATGCACACTGTTAAATGTTGGACTTGTTCCATGATGGACCAACGGCTACTTTTGCTAGGGTTCTACTTTGCTACCACCCATTCTTTGACATAAAACTATTGTTTCAGCACTGATATTACCTAATTCACCTACTTATGCTTATTTCTTATAACTATTCGTATTGTCTCTTTTATGTTTCAAAAAGTCCAAGAAAAAAAAGGGAATCATTCGCGGAGAATACTGATCACCAGTACATAATATGTCGAAAACAGTTCTTATTCTTGGTGCTTCCTATGCTGGCCTGACAGTTGCTCATAAGTCAGTCTATTCAGCTACGTATGGATTGGAGATAATAACTGATGTTATGCAGGCTTCTCAAATCGACTTTGCCAGCAGTTCCTGACCTCAAAATTGTCTTGGTCTCTCCTACCACACACTTATATTGGAATATGGCTTCAGTTCGAGGTTTGTACTAATTCTATTCATACTTGAAACAAATTCTCACAGATGTAAACAGCGATTATCCCAGGTCAATTTGGAGATGACAAGGTATGCCGATACTATGTCCTGATCTTGCGTTGCCTTGTTATCTGACTGACACTTTCCTCAGATGTTCGCAGAGATTGCGCCTGGTTTTTCCAAATATCCCAGTGAATCATTCGAGTTTGTTCTAGGCACAGCGACGAGTATGGACACAAGTGCCAAAACAGTCACGATCAAAACTATTTCCGGGCCCGAGTTACTTCAAACATACGAAACATTGGTCATTACTACCGGTAGCCATACGATTGGCGAGGTACCGTGGAAAGGAGCACCTTCGGGATATGAACAAACCAAAGAACTCCTTCATAAATACCGAGAGAAAGTTGCAAGCGCAAAATCTATTGTGGTGGGAGGCGCAGGACCAACTGGGGTAGAAACTGTTGGAGAATTGGGCTTTGAATATGGGAAGACTAAGAACATTATCCTAGTACGTACTATTGCATAAATTTCCTCTCGGGTGGACAAAAGCATACTGACCGAGAAACAGATAACTTCTAGTGACGAAATTCTGAAAGGAGCAGTTACTAGCCCTATAGCCTCGTCGGCACAGAAAGAGCTCGAAAAACTGAACGTTGATGTGAGGCTTAGAACGAGAATTAACTCGGCAAAATTGTTATCTACTGGTCAAACAGAGCTTTCACTCTCTTGCAGCGAAAAACTTCTTTGCGACCTCTATTTACCCAGTGTCGGCACTATCCCAAACAGCGACTTCATTCCAAAAGAATTGCTAGATGGACAAAATTTTGTGAAAGTGGATCAATATCTAAGAGTTCATGGAAATGAGGATATATGGGCTGCGGGTGATATCATCGATGCGCAACCAAGTCAATATGTCTACGCCGATAAACAGGCTCTCGCGCTAGCAAAAAACCTAGATTTGGTTCTGAGGTCGAAAAATCCAACAGTGTATAAGACAGACGGCGCTCCCATCCTAGCCGTTGCTCTGGGGCGTAGTAAAGCTACAGGCCGATCTGGAAATTTCAAATTACCTAGTCTAATTGTTTGGTTTGTCAGTGAGTATTTTTCACCCTGTCCAAAGTTTCCTCCCACCCTTCCTTACTAACACACTCACTCTACAGAGGGCCGTACTCTTGGCACGCAAAATTTACTTCCATATGTCAATGGTACTAAATTTTGAAGGGCTCAAAAGTTTTATGTGTTATGTAATGAGATTGCGATGTAATAATGAGTATGTATAATTATGGGTTGTGTGTTAATAGTCAGGCGTCGTATGGGTTGGATATATCCTCAAGCTTTAATTGGAAATAAAAGAAGGGTTTGGGAAAATACATATATATATTTCTTTTTAATGTTAGTAATAATTCACATTGTATGTATACTTCACTGTGAGAGCCTTTGCGGTACTATTTATGTATGCATCTGAATCTGTATAATTTATATCTCCCATGGGAAGTTGTTACAAGTATTTATAAAAATTAAAGCCGCTTGCTCGCTCGCTCGCCAATCTCTATGTAAATCTAGCGCGATTCTCCAAACTCCAATTGCTACAACAGTCCCAGTAACCAGCGCACCTAATGCAAAAGCCAAGCCTTGTGAAATCTACCAATGTAATAATATCTCCTCAAAAACCCAACCCAATCCAGTTCAATCCAGTCCAATCCCAACATCATCTATCTATCACCTCTATCGCCCCTATTTCTCCTCAACCTCTACCCCCAATTTCTTCAAAACACTCTTTATCTTCCGCCCATCCATCGAGGTTTGTTTCATTTCTTCCCTCATAAATTCATTGAACTCCTCCCATCCATCTAGATATAAATGATGTCCCGCTTTTTGAATAATGACTACCTTTGCACTTCCATTTTCTAATTCCTTCTCTTCTTGGGATGCTTTTGCGAGGGTTTTTTCGCGTTCTTCTTTGCAGGCTTGCTCGGCTGCGTAGCCACCTGCTACGTCCATCCAATCGTTGTCGCCGTACATGAGGAGAATGGGGTATCCGTGTTCTTTTTGTCCGAAGTTGGATGGGGATGGGGATGTGGTGGAGTGGGGAATGGGTTGACGGCCTACGCCGTGGATGCGGCGGATCAAGGGGGAGCGCGCAAAGGCGCCTGGGGCGAGGACGTAGGGGAGTGCGTATTCGCCGGATCCGCGCTGGCGGAAGAGGGAATAGGCATACATGTGTAGTGCTTCAGTTTCGTTGCTGGGAAGGTGGGAAAAGCGGCGGGAGGTCCAGCCGGATACTAGACGTGGTCCTAAGGGGCCGGCCCAGCGGACTATCGAGAAAGGAGAGACGTTTGCGTCCCAGAGGTAGGTGAGCCAGAAGGGCATGGGTCGTTTAGCTGGTTCCGATTTAGATTTATTGTTTTCGCGTTTATTGCGCATGTTTCCAAAATTGTTGTTATCGCTGCCGGTGGAGCGTTTACTAGGATTTGAGGATGCAGAGACAATGTCGGTTTCTTGATCTTGGGTAAACTCGCTTGCCAGAGTAGATTCTTCGGGCTCGGGCATCGCCGCTGAGGTGGCGTAGGGGTCTTCGGGAATACCCACTGGCGAGGCGAGTATCAATTTGTTAAGATGGCCGGGGTATTTCAGCGCGTATGCAACAGCCATGTAACCACCCATACTGTGGCCCAAAAGTGTGAATTTGTCGAGTTTTTTCAAAACGCGCCATTCTTCGAGCGCATCAATAAACCAACTCTCTGTTTCTGCAATTTTGCCAGCGTGGTCCTTGGCACTGATTTTAAAGGATGGTCGGGTGCTACGTCCCATTCCTAGCATATCCAAGGCGTATATCTTCCAGCCTGGCACTCTACTTAATCCTTCAAAATTCTTGTAGAAAAATCCAAGACCTGCGCCGTAGCCATGAAGCATTACTAATGTATCCTCGACTTTTTCCCCAGTCCTCTCCACAGAGAACTCATTTATTGCCCTGTTCTTCCCACTTAATTTCACAAGATTTGAATGCCATTGTCTTGGACCGTAAGGATCGTTTAAGGAATTGGTCTGTACTGGTTCTGAGAATGCGTTCGGATCTTCGTTCACTGCTATAGTTGATGTGCGCGCTGAGACTGGCGCAGAACCAGTCTGTGTATGCGTAGGTGGTTTTTGTAGATATGGGACAAAGGACAAAACATTGTGTTCTGCGACAGCCGGTGAAACGCTTGCCCACCACTGACCAAATGCAGGCTTATATCCTAAAGGAAAATAGCCTTTTGCTGGAGGATCTCCTTTGGAAGGCTCGCGTTGAGAAGCCAGTGGAGATTGTTGGGTTCGAGGGGACTCGGTGTCGGAGGCAGCCATTGTGGTATATGTTGTTATGTTGGAGAGTCGCTTGAGGTATGGAAGAGCAGACTTTCGTCTAGTGAATGTATCGAAGGGGCCTGATCGCAATAATAGCGATGAAAAGTTTGTTTGATACAACTTGAATGATTGCGAGGCGATTAGTACACCTCTCAATTACTTATAAAGAAGGTGATGTAACTGTCGACGGAGTTAAGGGCTTTGAGACAGGTACGGCCGTGAGACGCCACCCTTGACGTGCAGCAGGCTTATGAAATGTAGGTATGTAGGTATGGAGAAGTTGAATAGAACCAGAGATATCGTGGGGGAGTTTGGCATTTATAGGAAAAAGGTAGCATTAGAAATCATCAAGTCGTCTAGGAGATATTTAAGGGGGTTTTTGAGTGTACAGTTGTGTTCAGTAGGAGAGTGAGATTTCCGAGGCAGGTACCGCAGGGTGTTGTGAGGTCGTCATCCATCATCCCACGCGAATGAGATCAATAAATTATTCGGTCGTCGGAGCATCCACAATCCGAAGTCGATAGAAAAAGTCCATAGAAACGGCTAAAACTTCCTCAATTCGCATTTGCTTCATTCTGATTGGAAATTGATCAATTGATCAATTCCTGGCTCGTAATTACTCATCTGTGTTATTAATATCTTGAGGCTCTTGAAATATTTGTCTCCAAAATTGGTGGTGGATTTAAAGATATTTCGGCCGATGAAGGTGTCCGTCAGCAGCTTGAAGGGTTAAAGGTCCCAAGAACGAAACAGACATCCAAGGTTCTTGCCGAGCTTCTGGAATCTTAGAATATCGTAACCTCAACATTACACTCGGTGCATTGTTATTATAATCACTCAGTGATCTGAACTATGCACCTCCATATTGCTCCACTACTCCAAATTTATTCTATTGGCAGGTGATCTTGGACTTTAACCTTACCAACAGCGGCTTTCATTTTTCCTCCTCCAGAATTACCTAGGTACTCGCAACATTTCCCTTTCTTTGCGCATAGGCCTCCAATTCCGTAGCTCCATAATAGCGACGAGCATAGCACAATGATATTTCCATAGCTTCAGACAATTAAGACATTCATCCATTCCGATGTCTAAACTCGATCAGCTCGTCAAAGGCGCACCGCCTCCAGGAATTCAAGTCCCTCCTATGCCAACCAGTGGTATTACATCATCCGAATCTTCTATTATCGATCCCCTCGCATCCCTTCCCTCCTCTCCCCCGCAGATCTACCTCAATCTCCTAATTCTCGAAGCTTCACTGCGTGCACAGTGGTTACAGCTTCGCACACGAAGGCGACAACATGCATTCTTCCTAAGCCTCCTGGGGCTCTGGAATATATGGTTTGGCTATGCATTGTTTCTGGCGCCGAGGGAAGATGGTAGTGGTGTAGGAGGATCGGTGTATTGGGTTGTGGAAATGACAGAGAAGATGTGTTTTATTGGCGGAATAGTCACTGCACTTTTGATATGGGGAACTGGACAATGGGAAAGAGGTATTCGATGGCCGAGGAGGTTTGTCGGGATTACAAACAGAGGACTTAGAGGATTCAATTGCAAGCTGGTGGTTATCAAGGAGCCGTGGTGGAAGGAGTTACTATCAGCGTTATCATTCCTATTCTCTTATGGATTGTTCTCGGGCAACAGTGGAAGCTCATATCGTTTTGTGGATCAATCGTTATTAAAGGAGTCGGAAAAGGCGGCGAAGAGCGGGGGACATCATGCGTTACCGAATATACACGAAGCTGATGATACAAAGGGTTATGAAGAGGACTTAGCACCTGGCGGGGATTATGTGAAGCTTTTATTGCTTCCCAAACCTTTCTCTCCCAATTTTAGGGAAAATTGGGATATATATCGTACAGAATACTGGGAAAAGGAAAACGAGCGACGAAAAATATTACGACAGAAATTGAAGGAGCGGGAAAGAAAACTGGCAAAACAACAAGGTGGATGGTTATGGTGGACAGGATATCGTGGATGGAGAACGGCACCTCCTACGGATGTTGAGAAAATTCATTACCGAACTCATCGACAAAATACTGTCTCGAAACGCGACAGGAGTACAAGTGTACGGTCACATTCCCATTCTCGTAATTCATCCCGAAGCGCAACACCCACTGGGAGCGATGAAAGACCCGGCAGCGGTCACACAAGGAAAGGCAGCAGTGCATCAACTATCTCTGAACGCAGAAGAAAGAAGGCACTTCCTGGCCCGACTAGGCTCGCACCCACTTCTGGTGTAGGCGCCGGCGGTTCTAGATCCACTACTCCTGAGGTACCATCACCATTGATTAGGGAAAATAGCTTTACAAGTCTTTCCTCTCTGGATAGTGACAGGCCCCTCACACCACTCTTAGGCGATGCGGATTCCTCGACTTCCAGATCTTTGAGGTCTTCTACCAGAGAAAAATCAGATACCTTGAAGCCCCCTAAGCGAACTGATGGTTCTGCCGTGGAAAGTGATGAGAAATAGAATTAGATACTTTTAATGCGATGAATGTTTTAACTTTAACCCTACTGTTCTTTATTTTTCTGATGATTGGGCAATTAAGTTGTATTTTAGGTGTAGTTGTGATGATTTATGGGGATTAAAGAGAAGTACGGGGTAAGATGGTAATTGTCCCTTTTAAAATTAGTTATCCCGTAGTTATGGATGAGAATAATCCTAGATGTGACATTGTCTAGAATTATCTTGGTCATTTAGACATACTAGGTATGCACTTCTATCCAAGAGTATCCCGTCGCCTGCAGAGTTCATTCTATCAGAAGGAGATCTTAATAGTTTTCCATACTAGATATGGAAGAGTTGGAGTGTAGTTAGATGTATTTTGGTGTTTTGATGTTTTGTTTATTAGTCTTTTATCTTCGATGTTAGGAATTAATTTTCTTTAGTTAGGTACATACTCGAGTAGAAGGTCTTAAGCGAGTTTTGAAATTGATTTTGTAAGATGAGATGAGATGAGATGAGATGAGATGAGGTATAGCGAATGGATGGGATGGTAAAGAATATATATATATACCTAGGTAGGTACTTGAGTTTGATCTGATCTCCTCTTAACTAGGTATGAGAATGCCCTCACTCATGCATGCATGCAGTTTAGCTGGGTTGTACCCATCCAGGGGTTGACTTTGGTTTTAGGTCAAAACTCCTCAGAAGGTTTTCTATGTCTAGTCGCGCGTAGGTATTTAATACTGATGGTAAATTGAAGTTTGATCTGGGCAGTTCTTGATTGTGAGAGCTGAATTTCTAGGTAGGCTGTGGTATAAATTTCTATTTCTGGATTAGTAGTTGTAGTGTTTATATCGTGAGGATGGATGTGGAGATCATTAAGTGATGATCGGTGAGGTAAAATAACCTCAGGATTGTTGAAGGACAGGTAACTTTGGAGATATTTTGGATGATGCTGCCGTGGATCGAGTATTTTCAGCTCAGTTTCATGAGGATGCGATTTGTGTGTCCCGTGTTAAAAAGACACTTCTCCATATTTCCGAAAATAATAAAATAATAACTACGTATAATCATCTCGAATAGGAGGCGAAAAAGAATAAGAACATTTAGCAACGACACAGAGTTCGCCTCCGGATGTTACTGTAGTGGTAATCTCCTCAACTTCTCGCGTTGATCAATGATCATAACGTGGGATAATTGGATTATGTGGTAAGATCCTAAATATCTGCAAAACTTGTAGATACAATTTGGAAGGAGTTGATTTCCTTGTGGGATTCTTACACCGAGTGTTAAGTTTGCAGAGATTTAAGGTTAGTCGATGCAGACTACGCACACTGTACTATGTTATCATCTTCTTCTGTATACTCAATGAGTGGTGTAATTACCTACTAACTTTAAGAACCTTGGAAAAAAATAATGTAATAATTTCAAGTAGCTTAGCATTTCTGGCCTCCTGTATAGATAGTACTCTCTCCAATAGGCGATATTTCTCTGTATTAAAGTTTCCGCATTTCCTTGAGGGTGTATCATATATCAACATTTAGTAGGTACGCATATCGAATGAGAGCAGACTCAGTCGGATTTTCGTGTATGGCTATGTAAGGAGTGGTGGTTTATGTGCTCAAAGCAGCCAAGTATCAGATTCAGCGGCTATTTTTCTCAAGGCAGGATCACCAACTACTGGTATATTAGTGAAAGGCTTAGATGACGATACTAATCATCCTCTCCTCTCGCAGTATTAATGATCAGACTTATATTGAAATATGAGATTATAGTAGACAGCCGACAGATATACCGGGATTCAACCAAAGCAGTTGAGTAGATTTTTCGTTTTTCATTAAAAGAGCCAATTTTTTAGAGTAAAACAGCAATGGAGTTCGCCGTACCTAAAAAAGAATCATGCTTCAGATTTTGAACATTTTGGTTTGTTTTCGTACGATTTGTCAGTATGGCATCTCAGAGCTTAGCTAATAACTAGTCTCTTGTAATAGGGATGGAGCAGTAGTGTCATCCTCAAAAAATGATTAGCATAGGCTGGTGTGATGGGTAATACTTGAGCATCTTGGGAACCGAAATCACCCCCGGGGGAGCCTGAAAACAACCCCAAGTTGCAAGAGGATGCATTACCCGGAAGAGGCAGTCTTCATCGATCATTATTCATATTACGTTGATCCTGTCTTGTGGCTTGTATCTGTATCAGTACAACCAGCAGGGTGGAGGAGGGATTGGTGTGTGGGTCTCCCGCCTTTCTCTCCATTGAAGCTCGCACAGAATGTAGAAAGAATAATAGACACCTGTAGCGTTGCTAGCATCGCGGGAACAATGAGTCGTACCATGCTCTAAGCAGATACACCCTGGGTAAAAAGTTCATTCGTGGACTTTCCTGATCAACTGTAATGGTTAATTCAGGCCTTGAGCCAGGTATCGCGTAAGGCTGGGGTGATCGCTGGCTAATATGTCCAAAACACCAGCGGCGTTAAGTATCGAGTAGCTGTTTCGGCAGTACTCCCTCAAGTGAAAACATTTTTTTAATATTGTAGTTGAATGAGAGCGGAGATTTGTATTAATATTTCTAATGTGCCGCTGTTGAATATTAGTTTGTTGGAACTGTGACAGCGCAATATTTTCCCTGACATGGAACTAAATACGATGTGAGAAAGTATCTACAGATTAAGTACATGATAATTTGATTAATACTTAATTTCACAACTCAAGATAAGTTTTTTATTTACCAATAAGTAAATCATGACTCTGGATACTACAGCTTTGTCTCTATCTTTTCATTCCTGTGTTTCTTTACGCCTCCAGCAAATGTTTCAGATCACTTGGATTAGAGGTCTAATTGGAATGAAGAAAACACCGTTGATTACAACCCGTTTGATCAACTAGTTCGTTGCAGGTTTCCGAATACTGCAATGCAGGCTTTATATCAGGGAATAGCACCTGACATCGTTTCATAGACCGTGCCATAGTATAAATGTCTACTTTCATCCCCCCAGTTCTTGAAATATGCATCGTCCTAGGTGGGAGGGGGATATTTCCTTGAAAAGGTCCTCTATTACTACTGATATTTATATTTTATTAACACAATTTGTCAAATCTGCAAGTGCTATAAGAAATTACTAAAAGACTATCCCTGCATAGAAGATTATCAAAAAGTCACATTTCAATAGATTAGTCTAATAGCTTAAAAAACTCATAGATGCTTCATGGTGAAATTCTGGTAGCATGATAATGCTAGGTGCTTACCTACTAACCTGCTAAATGCTAATGTGTAAGTAAAGAATAAAACTCTAAATTTTCTGACCCTTTCCCTTTCCGTCATCTACAGTCTTGCTCAAGGTTCAACCTCATCATCGTCCTCAGCACTCTCCATTTGTTGAAGCTTCGATGGTAATTTCAACTTCGAAAGATCGGACCTATTTCGTACTGGCTTATTAGCGAACTGACGGCCTTTTTTCTTCTTGGGGCGGCCGATAGTACGCCGAGCTGGATCTTCGACCTCTTCACCTCCCTCATCATCAGAGAGCATAATCCCATCAACACCTCCTACAAGTTCGGTCTCATGCTCAATGTACTGACGCAATCCAATGTCATGATCGAGATCCCACTCGTATTCAGCCCCAAGCTTGGTGTAGCGACTCATTGCTTCGACGACTTCTTTAATGACTTGAGATGGTGGGTAATCTTCAGGTGGAATAAAAGTAAGGCCCTCAACATTATCAATTTCGAGGCCGCGAGGTAACTGCTCCTGAACAGGGAAGAATCGAATGAATCTAATTGTTTGATCAATATCCTCCAAAGGAATCGGACTGTCAATCAATGACGTTCCAAGCCTCGAGTCTACCTCCTCTTTCAATATCCTGTCCCAATCCTGAGTCCTCACTTCTCGCACCTTCCTAATCGCACTCAAATGACTCATCGCGGTCAATGTCAACCTCTCTTCCTCGACATTACGTTGATATTGGATCTCATATATTTTGATGAAGTCGATCAGCTGTGTATCACTAAGCTGCAACCAGGAGATCATCGACTTGAAACTCATCTGCTTGGTGAGCTCATGAACCATTATCAGCTTGCAAGCATTGGTGAGATCTTCGTAGGTTGGTGCGGAAACACCACACTATATCGCACACAAATTTAGCGCGGAGTTGATAGATATTAAGTCTAAAAACTTACACCAGGAAACCACCTCGGGTGCGACTCATCAATAATGTCGATATCCGTATGATCCCACTCTGGTGTATGGTTCAGTCCATATCCTGAGGATGTGATGTCGTACTCATCCTCAGCTGTGTAGACCGGCTGCCGAGCCGGTCGACGAGGAGTACGCGCTGCTTGCATGTGAGGCGAATTTGCTCCTTCCACGGGAGGCCGGTTTTTTACTGCTTGTTCAACTTGCTTCAATGTTGCTCCGACTTCTTTTCTCCAGGTTTTTCCGCCTCTTCTGGTGGACGAAGTGGGACTTGTTGGCGTATCGTTAGGTGAAGAACAGGCCGAGGTAATGGGCGAAGGGGTACTATGGTGATGTGAGCGGGCAACTGAAGAATTTGTACATGCGCTTTGATCAAGTTCAATAGGAAGAAGAATGGTTGATGTGGTAGGCGTCGATGTACATGGATTGGTTACGCCAATACCATCACGATATCTTTCAGGAAGACGACTAACGCGTGAAGGTCTTCTTCCCATAACAAAGGAGTATTCCATGTAACCTTAGAAGGTTATGAATGGTAACATAGAATGATAAATATTGGGGACGACGGGATGGTGGGGAGGAAATTTGTTGTAAAAGTGAAGAAATAAAATGGTGGAAGAGAATAGGACGGATTCTTGAATAAAGAGATCTGGATTTCAACTCTCATCTATCCCGCATCTGTATTCACTAAGTTCCGTCGTATTGATAGTATATGAGGTCATCCACTTAATTCCGAATATCTGTTAATGGATTCAGTTCCTTAAATACGTGAATAGATGATCTTGGTAAGTACTGTGTTGTGAAGAATTATCATAAACTCGCCGCGTTGCGAAGGCATGAAACGCGTCTTATTGACTCTACTGGGCCGTGGGCAAGTCCTCAACGTGTTGTTTGATTCGATACATCAGTAAATTAGCTTGATCATTATTCTTTTGGAAAATTACCGTAGGCCAGCCATATTGAAAGCGTATGACTGTATCCAAATATCCCAAATGTGAAGCGCATGAGCAAACTATGAGTAACTTCCCCTGCAAGATTGGTTAGACAGATGGGTCAATAAACCTAGGAACTCATGTTGATTGACTTTCAATTACCTCAGTGATTTGTGAATTGATTCACTTATTCAAAATCATGTGAGATATTTGTATCGTCAGATAATGGCACGATTTATATAGGTGAATATTAGATACTACTTTTGGAATTCGTCTAATCTTATCCAATTTTTTTTTTCCAGGTGACCATGAGAAGTATCTTTTAAAGCATTTATAATTTCACTGAGTTTGAGATTTGCACTATTTTATTCATGATTTAAACTATCTCCTATTTTAATTCTTTGTAAATTTTCTTTTATTCATCATATATTGCCTCTATTCTAATATCATGAAAAGTCATCAGTCACTCACTCATATTCATCTCATTACATCTTTAAATTGATTTTCTAAAAAAAAAAAGGAAATATATTCTATAACAATCCAATTCTATCCAAAGGTCGTTGTCTAGTACTCGTTTCCTGTAGCACTTAATCTAGATTCAATCCAAAACTAAATCCACCGAGCTAAACAGAACAACTCAAAGTCTCTATAAGTACGGTCATGTGACTAGCCTCCTATGAAGCCGTACCACAAGTGAACTCTAGTGTTTATCTTTAATATAAATAGGATCCTTTTCTTATAGTGTAGCTAGCGAGAATGAAAAACAAACAATGTGAATAGTATCACCCAAAATGATACTAACAGTCTCATTACTCATAACTCATAACCCACAACTCCCTAAAAATTCACACCCACCCAGGCCTCCCAGCACCAGCACCAAAATCCGTCCTAACAGACACCCCGGAAACAACAGACTCCTCAATAATCTCCGTCAAAGTTTTCCCCCCATTCGCGCGATACATCTGCAACTTAACCAACTTCCGAATGCGCGGCTCCTTCGCCTCTTGTCGCATCCATCGGAGCGCTAAACAAGAGATCTTTTTAGGTTGATAGTGTCTTACAGGCCAAGGATCAATCTCGAAGTATTGTCCGCCGGGGAAATGTTCCTGGGCTTCGCTTTCCATGGCGTGGATTATTTTGCTCCAGGTTCCTCGTGGAGTGCGTTTTTCGGCGCGGATGTGGTGTTGCGTGCAGAGATTTAGGATGTGGGATTTTTCGGTGGGTTTGAAGTATGGTGCCATGATTGATGATGATGGGGTGGGGTTTGAGGGTAGGGTTAGTGCTGAGTTTAATGGGAAGGTTAGGTTAATTGTGGGGATTATCAAGTCTGTTTACTTTATTCTTCGCAGTCTTGTGGCTAAAGCTATGAATTGTTAAAGTAATGGACGGTACAGATTGGTAGCTGTGAAATCGAATTCGCGCGTTCTATAGATGAGCTTTTTGTTTCATCAGTATGAATTGTTTCGTCGTTGTTTTGTCGGTGTATCTACATAGTCTCATTTAGGTTGTTGACTCGCTTAATTCAGGAGAGCGTGATGGCTTGCATCATGGCAATGTTCAGCATCAGAATTTTCCATCATTGACCCAAGAACAATGCTATGGCCTGTTTCTTTGTGTCCAAACCCTGAATAAGTTATTGTTATGTCAATTAGCTTTGATCCGACCAATCTTGCATACCCAGCGAAATGCTGTTCCAAATCTTACCCTGGAACAATGATTGAACAATATACAATCCTTGCATATAACTAGGAGAGATTCTTCGACATTAACACATCATCATTTCAAACGACAAACTCGAAAGCATTTCATCACCCAGTATTCAGATCAGAGCTTTCTTCCACACCGTACATACTCGAATTTCAATCATCACCATGTCTCAAAATCCACAGCCCTGGTTTACAGACTCCGAGATCCGATTCCTCGACACTCTCTGTGCTCCACACGCACCACCAATGCCTGCGACCACGTGGCAGACAATCATCGATCGATTCTTCACAGAACAAGTACGACATCTTCCTGGCGGTGATTTTTACCATTTGGATCCTTGGCCTAAGCGAGTACGTATTTCCCACGCTATTTTCACTGATCCAAGACTTCCGGTAGGCGAGAGTTTGGAGGCAGACCAGGCGATTGTGACTTTGTTGGGTGTTGTTCATGATCCTGAGCCGGATCCTGAGCAGGGACAAGTGCACGTGCAAATGCCATTGATAATATCACCGCAACCGCAAGAAGATGAAACTTTGCCACTTCCAGAAGGTAGTATCCGACTTCCTGCAGGCAATATTCGACTCCCTGAAGGTAGCATCTTACTTCCAGATCGTAGCATTCTTTTCCCCGACGGAAGACTTCTTCTTACAAATTCTCCCCGCCAAGCAGCTCCATTCGTCTTTCTTCCAGATGGCCGAATTCGTTTACCAAATGGGAGAATGTTCCGCGCAAGTTCTGATATTGGACGCCCGGTAGTTCCTCGACCTAATGTTCGATATCGCAATGGTAGAGCTTATTTTCCTGATGGGAGTATGGTACCGGGGACTCCAAGCACTCCTATGACTCCAAGCGCTCCTATGACACCAAGAATTGTTACGCCATCAAGAACTCCTGCAGCTCTCATTATCTCAAGAACCCCCCGCCGTACACCTGCAATGCCATACCGTAGCCTTGAAGTTCCAGGTAGTAGATTTAATTTACCATCACCTGAAATTTCTGCAGCTACCGCTTTAGCTCATGATGATAGTGTTCTTTATTCTGATGGGAGCTCGGGATATCTCTCAAATGATTTTAGCAGTTACTGTAATGTCTATAGTTCTTATAGTCCCTTTAGTTCTAGCGGTTCCAGCTCAGCTTCCAGATATGGAAACTCGTCTTAATATTCTGAGGACTTGAGACAGGCTGGTCCTGACTAAATTGCGCAATCTTAAATAGTTATGGAGAGTTTTTGTAGTTTGGATTTCGGCATCGATTTCAATTTCAATTTCAATTTGATTATCTAAAAATGTTATAAATGTAGAATAATTGTGAAAGTGAGTGAATGAATGAATGAGTGAGATGTAGGTATGCATTGAAAAATGTGTTGCCGATAAACTAGTCGCTACTAATTCATTTGTGTCTTTTGTGATCGTAATAGACAAGATAATAACGTGATTGTTCAGCAAACATTCTAACTGTAGATCAGTTCTTGTTCATATTTCTCTCTCTTTTCTTTTTTTTTTTACCTCTTTATTCTTTTCTTTGTCTTGCATCCTCGGACAACGAACTATTTGTAGTCTTTAATTATCCGTATCCTAATCGCTTACTTATTTGCTTGAATAACTTTTCATCGCAGATTGGAATGACCACTTGTTGTTGATAATGGGAAATGTAATCGACGTGACCATAAGGTGGACAAGAATGATGTAGACTGGGGCGATTGTGTGATTTATGGGGATTGAGGATTTTGCATAGGGAGAGGCTTTATGGCGGCGAGGCGTAAAAAGAAGCTATGTAGGTCAGCATTGTTTTTGGGACGGTGTAGTGAAAATATTTGCTTTGGCATTATGTTTTGGAAATTGAGGAAAATTGATTGCTACTGTTGAGGACGATCTGGAGGATGAAGAAAGCAAACCACTTGAGCTTGCAGTGTTCAAAGCAGACATCAATTCGGGAAGTAATAATACGAGCCCATCGTTGAAATCATGAGATCTCCAGGCACTAAACCTCAACATAAGCCATTTTAATGCTATTGATATGCGCTTAAATAGGAACATTGCTCGTATTTAATGATGAAGAATCCGAATTCAAACTCTTGTATGTAGCCAACAAGCTACAAGTATATAAAATGAACGCTTCACATGGAATGAACGATTGAGAGTCCATGAAAATACTCATACGACGTACTACGTCTTGACTATATTGCTAGGCTAGATTCGTCATGGATATTTCCATAGATTTAAAGATTGATGCTATCTCGATCATTGACACGTCCAGACAAACTGATCGAATATAGCTGTACTCCTCAGTAGTAGAAACACAAAGCTAATGAAATAGCAGTAAACGGTCTTCGGAGATCCCCAATCGTGCATATGCAAAGATTCATGACATGAGATGGATGACTCCTATTATCTACTAGGTAAGGTTACTGACTGTACACGTAAAATCACAAGGCTGGTCTAGCGAGTATCATCAAAAATCCCCCCCTCGATCATTTCTTGTCCCACCTAAGGAGGAGGGAGTACTACGCCATGAAGTAACAAATTGTTATGCATAGGATAAAATGGTGGTGGGTATTCCCATCCATTAAAGAACAGTCTACACGGTATGATGTGAATGAATGGATGAATGGATGAATGAATGATATGAATGAATGAATGAATGATATGAATGAATGAATGATATGAATGATATGAATGATCCGAATGATCTCAATGATATCGTGTCCAAAAAAGACGGAGGTTGGGGAACGCGCCGTGCTTCGGGAATGAGCCGAAACGTTGTTCCTGAATTAGGCATCTCGACACCTTCGCGGTTGGGCTTTGTCACATTTTATAGGGCACTGATAGGCTATTTCATTGATGAATCGAGGATTATTAGTGGAGCCAAGCCTAAAAGATTAAGCCCAGTTATTTTTCTTATTCCTTTCCCAGCCACATGTTAAACATTTATTCGATCTTTGATCTTGATTTCAGTCTGATCGATATCTTTATCTTTATGCTGGCGGCTGGTCGGTCGGTCGGTCTGCGGAGGAAGGAAGTAATAAAAGAATAAAATAGAATAAAATAAAATAAAATAAAATAAAATAATAAGCTTTTCATTGAGGTGTTCTCTGTCATATTTATTTATTTCCATCCAACGTTTTTGGTTTTTCCATTCCTCTTCCACTTCCATCTATCTCCATACAAGATCCGAATTCCGAAATACGAAATCTTCTGCTTCTACCTCTGCTTCTGCTTCTGCTTCTGCTTCTGCATTTGCATCTACCCGTCACTTTTCTCACAACAACATCAAAATCAATTGGTTTAACAAAAACTAGGAAATTAATTCTTGATTGGAAAAGTGAGACCCATCTCTTGTACATCCATTACTTTTGTTTACTTGTTCATAATCAGTCAAATCATCCATCGGATAACAATGGCATCCCCTCCATCCCCACCATAGTAAGTTCTATTCAATTTCATTCATTTATCACAAGATACCTTCAACATTCAATCTCCAAACTACACATTCAATCAAATACATCACACATACACATACACATACACACAAACATACGCATCACGAATTTCTACTGTATGCATTGGCACATATTCAGAATGCCACGCAACAAATACACGACCACCGGGTCCATACCTCCAACACATCCTTCTCCACGAGAACCAATTCTACCTTCCAAACCTCACACTCTAACAAATTCCTCTTCTTCCAGCGATAATATCGAGGATCCAATGACGGCTCAGAAAATGATGCACGCCAATTCCATTCCTGAACCAAGCGAATCTCCTAAGTCTCAATTGCATGATGCCATTGAGAGGATTCAGTCTTTGCATAAGAGGAGAGCTCAGATTAAAACTATTTATGAGAATGAGAGACAGTACTTGGATCAGAGGAGTCAGAAGACGAAGAGTAGTTTTGAGGGCTTGATTGTTAGTACTGAGGAACAGATACAAAGTATTAATGAGGTAAGCGTCTTGATGTTTTTTTGGATAATGGGTTGAAAGGAGATGGGATAGTTGATGATTCGTTGGAATCAAGTTGGGATAAAATTGAAGGATCTCCACTCGATCCACCGGCGCTAACATATTTGAAAATAGTTCCCAGCATTCGACAGTCATCCAGATTACACCGAGGTTAATGGAAAGCTACATTCGGTAGCATTAGACACGAAAGCTCTATTTCAAAATGTGAATGCTTTGAGCGAGTCAATAATCATGGCATTGGATGCTTGGTATCAAAAAGAGGTTGACAAGTGCGCATATGAAATTAAGCTCGCAGAGAAAGATTACAAGGTTTGTACACCATATTTCTTTTCGCTGCGCCATATTCTTCAGATAAGCAAAACCCAAAGTCAAGTACTGACACTTTCCAGCGCTCTTTCGATACCTGGCAAGAACTCATTAAATCCGGCGACCTTTTTGGCGCCACTGAACCATTCAAATCCCCCGCCCCTGTTAGCAACGGTCCCAACTCCTCCCGCTCATCGCATCAACTTCGAGATGGTCCAGATCCTCACATGTACGCACCAGGTCCTGCTCAAAATCCGAATAATTTGCATAAATCCGATACCATTACGTCGCATAATAATGTTCGACCGCAAAGTAGTAGGACTACTAGTATGGATATGAGTGGTGCGAATGGTATGATGGGAGGTAATATGAATGGAGGAGTTAGAGGAAATGGTAATGGTAATGGTAATGGAAATGGAAATGCGAATGCGAATGCAAATGGAGATATGAATTATCCGCCTAATTCTAGTGAAAAGAGATCTGGAGGAAAGAAGAAAACTTTTAGTTGGTTGAGCGGGGGGAGTGGGAATGGGAAATATATTGAGTGAGGTTAGTAATGGATGATGGGTTTTAAGAAGCGAAGGATGAAATTACGGGGATCGAGGGGGTAAAAAGGTTTGGATGGATGGGTGGGTGGAAGGATGGATTTGTAAATGGATGGCGTTATGGAAATACCGTTTTCACATCGGTATTGAGATGATGATGATCATGAGACTGCTCTTGCGTTTTGCATAGGATTGTATTGTGGAAGGATGGGTTTGCTGTATTGAATGGATGGTACATATGAGCAGAGATGAGTGGATGGGTAAGCTCATTACTTTATTTCATCATGTTCTTTTGTTTTCGAGATGGAAATGATATGATGGAAATGGATGCATAGGTATGTACAGATTAGGTATTTAATTAATGATAAATGATTGATATGATATAATATGAATATGGATATGGGTATGAGTATGGATGAGGAAAACAATGAGAAAAAGAATAAGAATAAGAATATGAGTACGAGTATGAGTATGAGTATGGATGAGGAAATGAAGGAGAAAATGAGTTTTCATATCTGAATCTTGTGGATCGAGATGGTGAATTGGGATGTAGAGTGTGTTGTGAGGTTAGGGGGTTGCATGTTAGAGGTGAAGGGGGGGGTGGATTGAGGTGGATTGAGGTGGATGGTGGATATTGGTTGTGGAGAGGGTAAAGGGAGTGATGAGGTAGTGCGAGTGGGAGTGAAGAGTTGAGAGTAAGAAGATTATAGGGTGATATTTATTGTGGATATACTGCGGATCTGGATGGGACGCACTTGGAGTTGGAGTTGCGAACTGAGGGTTGTTAGGATGGGAAGGGAGTTGATGAGATGGTAGAGATTGTTCAGATATCTGTTTTTGTTTTTTGTTTTCGTTTTTGCTGTTATGGAAAAGAAGGGTGAGAGGTGGGGAAGGTAGGATATGGGAGAGCGGAAAGTAGAGGTGGGGAGGAGTCGGGTTTTGTTTTGTATTGGATTGGATTTGTGTTGGATTCGTTAGGTAATTATGGATAAGTTAGATTGGGTTTGTTTTGGTTTTCGTTTTGGTTTTCGTTTTGGTTTTCGTTCGCTTGGGATTGTTTCTATTTCTGTTATTTTTCTTCTCTTTTGGATGGAGGGAGGGAGGAAGGGAGGGAGGAGGGAGTTCAAGGGGCGTATGATTTAGAGAGGGTGTGTTCAGAGGGGTGTGTTCAGAGGGGTGTGATATAGAGGGAGATAAGGAGGAGAATTCAGAGAGGGTGTAGTTCAGAGGCGGTGTGATATAAAAAGAGTATAATTAAAAAGAGAATATAATTTAAAGAGCGAGGGGGCTGATTAATTTAATACATTCTTTTATTTTTTATTTTTTTATTTTGAGTATATAAACAAATATATATAATATAATAATAATATTTGATATATAATGTATAATAATTATAGTTTTTTAAATATTAAATTTTTATAAAGAAATAAAGAAATAAAGAAAATTAAAAAAGTTAATTAATTGATGAGTTAATTGAGTAATAGATTGAGAAGATAAATAAAGAGGAGGAGAGGAAAAAATTAATAATAATAAAAAATATAATTATAATTAGATTGTATTTAATTAATATATATAAGATATACATATCACGTCGTAATCATATTATTTGGATTCCTTCAATCTTTAATCTTCAATCTAGCGATAATGAAGAGCAGAAATAAGATTATGTAACAGGTGTAATAATATAATATGCACTTTTGAACGGAGTTGTAGGGATGTGGAGGTTTCTTATATATATATAATAAGATTATGGTATGATATTGTATGGTATTGTGTGGAATGGAGAGGAGAGGAGAGGAGTGGAGAGGAGTGGAATGAATGGATGGATATCTGTTGATCTATTTATATACGGCGCGGGATTGTAATATATGTTGGTGTGTAGGTAGGTAGGTAGGTACTGTGGAGTTGAGTGGCTATTTATTATATTTATTAGGTACCTAGGTACAGACGGTACTTATGATATCGTGATGTGAAGATTATAATTTCGGTTTGAGGTTATTATGTTAACCTAGTTGGTTTGTGGGTTTTATATCGTATCGCATCGTATCCCAAAGTCTGGTTATCGTATATTTTGTGGATTATCTTACCTTACCTTACCTTACCTTAAGGTTACCTCACCACCTTATGCCGAAGATTTGATGATGCTTTAACCTTATCATTTATGGAGAGGAGAGGAGAGGAGAGGAGAGGGGAGGCGAGGTGGACATGGAAGATTTCATTTCATCTACCAAGACATGATTTGAAAGTTGAAGAAGTGATTTTGAGATTATTTGTACGGAGCGGAGGAAGTAGATGTAACGCTAGGTTTAAATAGGATAGGACTAAATAATGATTCATGATGGATGAATGTAACTTACAATGGTTGATTTTGACTCCATCTTCATGATTGATTATCTTTGTCAAGTGTGTCCGTCGTATGGCTATTGGTTTGGAGGAGGGAGTAGGAGACTCGGAAGGATTGGTAGGAATTGGTGGAAGTTTATTACTCTTTTCTGCAGTAAGAACTTAAGATACGAATAAAATCATATCATGTACACCTATGGGAGAAAGCGTTTGTGTAAATCTACCCAGTACCCAACAAAGCAAGGCAAGGCAAGACAAGATCCGGTTAAATCACCCGTACATACGGAGTGCATACTCGTAAAATCCCAAGAATCAAACGCCCTACCCTTAAAGTTACCAAACAAACCCCAACAAAACGAAACGGAGTGCTTGAATGGATATTCGGGTTTCTGGCCAAGCATACTGTGTAAGGTTATCAACATTTTCAAGGATCTGGAACACGCAACGAGTTCATCGGTTCATCAGTTCCTTCTTATACGAACCATCGGCGGGTCATTTTTCGGATACTTACAGAATTGCCAGATGGCAATCATGAGGTAGGTACTGGTGTCCCTAGGTATGTAGGGAGATATAGTTTATCGGCTGCAACGACGGTACGAGGGAATGTTTGGAATAGGGCCGGATTGGGATTTTTGGGTGTGGTACTCCGTACGAGGAAGTCGATGGGGATTTGACGGTGTGTTGTGTGTGTGATATCCTGGGTTTTTGGGTTGGGAGGGGATTGGATGTTGGGGATGGAGGACGATGGATGATGGATGATGGATGATGGATGATGGACTTATCTTTTTGGTATTATCTGGTTATTGGAGGTTATTGGATAGCGGTGACGAGATAGATGGTGAGATGTTTTTGTCTGTGGGGGATATAGATAGATAGATAGATAGATAGATAGATAGATAGGTAGATAGGTTAGATTTCTATTAATTGAAATTCTGATATGGGTTAGTATGTATGGTAGATGAGACGTATCTATCGATTCTAGATCAGTACCATGTATGTCATTTCCAATCGTTGGGTTTTGGTATCGTGATGATGATTGTAAAAATACCCCACTATTTCCACTTCCTCGAGTCAATCGGTCAACAGATACTAAACATGTCTGATCATGATAGTTAGTATATTGGTTGAATTGAGATAGCTAGATAGAATGAAACCAAGATTCTATCTCTAAATTCGTCCAAGAGTTATCAATTATGCCTCCGACTGCGTAAGATTTGCATACTATTGGTTGATTCCTCTCCCTCTTCCCTCTTCCCTCTTCCTCTCCTTCTTCCTCTTCCCTCCAATATCATACGTTACATAGGAATGATCAACATCCTCCAATAGGTGGACCGTGGTAGTATGAACTTATTATACCCCTATCAAAGTGGTATGCAACCATCCGTTGAGGCTTCACTCGGCAACTCAGAATCAGACGCATCAATGCAGCCAAGGAGAAGAAGTCGAAGGTTTGAAAACAGGTCAATCCCTACTGTTGTAATAAGATTTCGACCTCATCCTTACCAAATACTCAAAATCCTTGCCCCGCATTCTCATGATGAATATTTGAATATTTGAATATTGAATACTGAATACTGAATACTGAAATTTCTCCATCTTAACACTCATTTTTGAATTACTGCACAGTGCGTACAGATGAAAAACCCTTCTCCAGATTTAGTACCCATGATTCAATCTTCAATCCTATCAATCCTGTCAATCCATTCAATCCATTCAATCCATTCAATCCATTCAATCCACTAACAAATCCCATGATTCACGTTTCCACATGGCTCACCTATCAAATCATTTCCCCTTCACTCCCTTCAACTTCCCCATGTCCATTATCGTGCGGAGAAGTTGACTAATTTGAAGCACTTCTTACTAAAACGCCACGCAATCCGAGGTTTCGATAAGTCGTGCATGAGATTACCGTACTCTTTTTTGAAGAAAATGAATTGGCGGCCAAGATAGATAACGTATCAACGGCCATCGATGTTTTGAATGCTACTCGAGTGCTTTTAACTTATTACCAAATCAAGAACAGTCTGGTCTCACCTAATATTTTTAGCAAGATGGGGGAAAATAAATGGAGATGCATACCTAGGTAGCGCAGGGACATGGAGGGTTTAGGACACAGCTTATAAGTACTTCTCTAGATATTGTGCTGTTGCTGATGTTGATGCTGCTGATGCTTGTTGTATGTTGCTAGTGCTTCAAACGTCGGTGGGGTATAATATAACATCTCGACGACCTCACCTTGCCTTACCTCGCCTCACCTCACCTCACCTCACCTCACCTCACCTCACTCCACTTCACCGCAAACTTACTCCAATATTGCATTCATTTATTTTGGCATATATACATCTTTAATTCACTTTTCGAGGCTGTGAAGAACAAATCAATCTTAAAATTCCCCGTAGATTTGTTTCCAATCTTACCTAGCCATCGGGATAACGGCTTACGGTCTGGAGAAGCGGGTTGATACGTTGGTGTCACTTTCATTTGTGTACGGGTCAACAAGGTTATTGGACCGTATCTCGAGTATTTGAAGAAACACTAAGGGTGAATCTTTTCCTTTCGACGACATCAAAATCTCTTACCGCAACAAATCTTCTACTTAAGAACTTCTTCCAAAGAACTTCTTCCACAACTTCTTCCACAACCTCTCCAACTATCACACAACAACACACACTCTCCTCTCATCCACAGTCTTTTACATCTAAAGACCGATTACTCAACTTACGTCACACTCCTTATTCAAACTTACCATCACACCTAAAATCTTTCAACAATAATTCGCATCAAATCATCCAATATGGAAAAAGATACTGCGCACGCGCATTCTCCAGAGCTTGTCGCAGTTCATGGAGAGGATAACGTCGAATATCGCACTGATACCCCTACTACCGCTATTGATCAAAGTAGTTGGAAGCATAAGCATCATCGATTCCTTGGTGTGAGCTTTTGGTATGCATCTCCTAGTGTTCAACTTACCATGGTCGCATTCGTTTGCTTCCTTTGCCCTGGTATGTTCAATGCGCTTGGTGGTCTTGGCGGTGGTGGGAAATCAGATCCAACTCTTGCAGATCATATGGTAAGTCATTCATCCTTTATATCCATCTTCTCACTTGATTACTTTTCTTGGTATTCATGATGATGGATTTTAATTTGGAACTCTTCGCTGTCATGAGTTTATTACTGATATGATATTTTCTAGAACACCGCTCTATATTCCACTTTTGCAGTCTTCGCCTTTTTCGGTGGTACTTTCGTCAACAAACTGGGTGTGAAAGCTTGTTTGGCTTTTGGTGGTATCGGATATTGCATTTATGCAATCTCTCTTCTCGCTTCTGTTCACGCAAATGTTGATGGTTTTAATATTTTCGCTGGGGCACTTCTAGGTGTTTGTGCTGGTCTTTTATGGACTGCACAAGGAACCATCATGGTTTCATATCCATATGAAGCTAATAAGGGAAAATACTTTGGTGTTTTCTGGGCTGTCTTTAACTTTGGTGCCGTTCTTGGTGCTTTGGTAGGTTTTCTTATTTCTTCACCTTCTTACACACGACTTATACATATCTTGCTTTATTTTCAAATTTCTGTATCTCCGCATCACATTTTGGTGCGAAGAGAAAATCTACTACTCTAGCAACTCACATAATACTAAAGATGGGGGCTAACATTAATTTAGATTCCACTTGGTCAAAATATCCACAGCAAGGGCAACTCCACTGTCAACGATGGCACCTATATCGCATTCATTATTCTCATGTTCCTTGGTGCTTGTCTAGCCCTCTTCTTATGTAACGCCGACGACATCGTTCGACCAGATGGTACCAAAGTTGTCCTTATGAAACACCCATCCTGGAAATCTGAATTCATTGGTCTTTACGATACTATCGTTTCAGAACCATTCATCATTCTTCTCTTCCCCATGTTCTGGGCTTCCAATTGGTTTTACACCTATCAACAAAATGGAATGAATGCTGCTGTATTTAATACCCGCACTCGCGCTCTCAACAACGTGTTATACTGGACGGCTCAAATTTTCGGTGCAATCATCTTCGGTTTCGGTCTCGATGCTGGTAACTTTCGTCGATCGGTTCGTGCCAAGTCCGCTCTTGCTTTCCTGTTTACTATCACCATGATTACTTGGGGTGGTGGATACGCATTTGAAAGAACCTATACTCGTGAGAGCACTAATTCAATCACCGGGGACTATAATCCTGTTGATTGGACTGATGGTGGAAAGAAATACATCGGTCCCATGTTCCTCTACATCTTCTATGGATTTTTCGATTCCGCATGGCAAGGATGCGTATATTGGTTCATGGGAGCCCTCTCTAACTCTGGACGTAAATCAGCCAACTACGTTGGTTTCTACAAGGGTATTCAATCAGCTGGCGGTGCCGTCATGTGGGCATTGGATGCGAAGAAACTTTCTTACCATGATGAGTTTATAAGCAATTGGATTCTTCTGTCTGTTTCTTGCGTCATCGCCGCTCCGGTTATCTTTTTGAGAATTAAGGATACGGTTTCGGTAGAGGAGGATTTACAGGGTACGGATGAAACTTTGGCGGATGTGGTTCCTGAGGGTCATGCGGAGAAGGAGGCTGGGGCTCATGAGTTGAATACTCGTGTTGATCGTAGCGATAAAGTTTAATTTGTGTTTTGGTTTTTTGTTTTTGCAGAGCATTACCTTCTTTTCTCATTTCTCACTGACTTAATTGAGTCTTTTATTTGCTTTGCTTTGGGAATTGCTTCTTTATGTTTTGTGGGGGTTAGTAGATGGGATTCCTACAAGGGCTATAAGGAAGGGATGGTTGGGTAGATGGATGGATGAATGGATAGCATTTTTCTGGTCGATTATTTGATGATTCGATAATTCGATGATTCCTCTACATCTCCCGAATCAAAATTTCCAGAAACCAACCTTTGCTTCTTTTCTCTCCCTCCCTCTCCCTCCCTCTTCCTCTCTCTTTCTCACACATCCCAAAATATCCCAACAACCGCATCTCCGGAGAAACAAAAAAAAACCAACGAACAAAGCGAATATTTTGATTTTTGATCATTTCATTGGTCATTGGGTAAATGAATAAAATAAATAAATAAATAAACTCTTTTCCTTCCCTTTCTTTGGATTGAGTGAGTGAAAGTTTTCCTTGGGTGGAGTTTAGTTTTTAGTTTTTTCTTTTCGAGATTCTTTTCGAGATACTTTCGTGTGTTTTTGTGTTTTGTGAGGCAGGGGAGAAGGGAAGGTGGGAAGGGATCTTTTAATCTATCTGATCTGGTGCTGGTTCTTTGGGTTTGTGGATAGGTTCACCCATTGTTATGGAGGGAGGAGAAAGGGCGGGAGAAAGGGAGGGAGAAAGGGCGGGAGAAAGGGAGAAAGGGCGGGAGAAAGGGCGGGGTCTTTGATATTGTTTGTATTGATGGATCGATAGATCGATAGATATATGAATGGGGAAAGACGGATAGGGGGGGAGATGGGGAGATGGGGAAATGGAGAGATGGGAAGATGGGGAGATGGGGAGATGGAAGGAAGATAGATAGATAGAAATGAGATATGAGAATGAAATGAAATGATTATGACTATAAATCATTTTTGAGTGGGAGCGGTGGGTTATGATATAAGATGAGATGGATGATATGATGAAGGTATTGTGAGAAAGTTGGAATTATAGGCCAAATACATAAAGGTTTTTAACCAATCAATCACATGACCTCTTATAATTAGATATAAAAAGGAAGCTTCTGCTTCTCCTTTTGAAAGAAATCAACCTTCTACACATATACATTTGACCTCACATAACCTCAAACCCCAAACCATTGTGAATCCCGTTTTCTTCATAAATGACGTATTACAATATGATCTAATCAGCTTTCCCTTCCAATTCTCCTTCACGGCATACTATCGGGACGCATGTATCTGACCTATCACTTTTACAATATATCTTCTCAGGAAGGTATTTGATCCTCAACTGTCTCAGACAGTCTTTCTGCATTTATTTTCGAGATGGCCAATCCAAGTGATTAAAACGTACGAATTTCCAACACCAGATGCGCAACTTGTATTTTGCTTCGATTGGTTGATACTATGGAGGAAGAAGGGTTTGTGTGAATATATGTGAAAGAATAAGTGGTTGTTAACGAAAGAGGTATGCAAATGTGATTATTGTTGAACTACCCTACTTACGTTGATTCTTGCAATAGGGCGATTTTGATTAGACATTCTAAGCATAATTATAACACTAATTTTGGAAATAATGTTGGTGGAAAGATTTTGAGGTAGAAATAGATTAAGATCAAGTCTATAGTTTGAATGGACTTTTTAACAACCACATATCAATCCAAATGTATAATATTTCATAATAAAACGTTTATATTATTGTACAGAATCAAGATGATAATGTTTCATTTACCAATCTAATGGCATTGCTGGATTTTGTGATCAATACTAGTTGAGGATTCATGGGTGGAAAGAACTTTCTTTTCATAGTCAATGCCACGGATGCATCTAGAATGGGAACAACTCCCGACTTGAGTAGCTCGAAGTGCGTAATACACTTATCACTAGATAGTGTGCATCAGACTGAGGAGAGTCGCTCTTCGACTGAAAAGCCTCTGGGCTAGAAAGTCTCTCGTTCGAAAAATATGCTCCCCGGTTGTTTGTGGCCTCATGCAGTATTGCGATCAATGTCTTCACTAGAAGCATACTCAAAGATTTTCTTCAATATTAAAGAAGCAAAGTACACATGTCTTGACACGATATTTGATCAAAAGAAGCCAAGTCGGTGTTCTTCGTGTGGGAATTTAACCTTACAGAAGGCAGATGCCATTCTGCATCTTATTGCTCATCAAAATTCATGAAACATCAAAGCAGATGTATCCTGAAATCTTGAGGCATTTTATTCTGGCTCCTCAAAAAGCATGGTGTTCTGGGATGAACTAATCGATTGATGTAAAACATGGTCCGTTAGAGCTACCTGAAGGTAGGATTCTTTAGTACAAACAAATCTCACTCAATGGCCTGGTCGAAATCTAAAGAGTACGATCATTCATTTGAGATGAATGACTGATCATCTTATATCAACATGAATAATATTCAAAGAATCCACAACGAGGTGAAACCCGGTATGTTAAGATAAAAAGAAAGAAAGGCTGAGACAAGCGGATAAGGTTAAGCCTCGGTTATCTTAAACGGGCGGGATTAATAGAACATTTTCCAAATCCCCGGTGAGGCTATTCTCGACTTTTTTTTTTCAAGGCTGTCTCGCTGTCCTTAGAAATCTTTCACTCCACTTTTGTGGCCGCTTTTATATTTCTTGATACGAACCTTATTTAAAAGCATAACATTGATACCGGTCAACCAGCTTAGGACGACGAAAGAACTGACCAACGATCGATTCCTGCACATACATACATACATACATACATACATACATACATAAAACCATCTTTCACTAACATTTACCTTTACCACATTCAATTTATGGCCGATGAAGTCATGATAACTACAATACTTAAGATCTGTTAATGCCGAGATTATTAGAGGCATTGCGCCTCAAAACCCCTTGATTCTTATACCATTTTCTCCAAATCAAAGAATTAGGTAGACTGAGGAGCTGGTTCCAGGTCACCAAATGTCTTGGGATTTGTTAAAGCGTTTTATCGAGTCCGATGTTTTCAATCGGAATCCATTCCTCTCCGTAGCCTACCTATCGTATGCCATTTACCCCTTTCCAATCATCGCAAGGTTCTTTTACTGATTGCTTGAGTTGGCAGACGGTATGCGGACCATGTCGGGATACATTATGTTCTTTGCTCGAAGTTGCGACAATTCAGTTATGAGGAAATTGAATTCTTCCTCCCGCAACTATGTCACCTAATTATAAGTGTCAACAACGAGTCTGTGGCTTTGGAAGAGTTTATTTTGGATTTGTGCGAGGACTCGGTCAATGCTGCATTATTGGTAATTTGAAGGCAGATATACATGATGGGACAAGTTACTAATTAAAATCGCAGACGTTCTGGCTATTTCAAACATACCTTCATGATCTTTCCGCGAATCCCCAATCAGAAGCCTTCAAGACATGTAGACGGATATATAATAAGGTCCAGCATATCGTATTCGGGGTTTCGGAAACTCCAACCAAGAAAATCAGTGAAAATGTTCTACCTGTTACGGTTCTGGCAAGTTTTGTTCTAGCGAGTATTGCAGTTCCATTTCTACCAAAGTGGGCTGGACCGTTGGCTATTTCACAAGCGCGGAAGCCTCAAAGTACGGGAAATGTGGTCGCAGATACCAGTCAGATGCAGACCCAAAAGATTGTTCGAAGTCATACAACGACACCGGGATCTACGCGAACAAAACAGAGGAGAGAAGCTGCCAGAAATGCGAGCGCCCCTGGTGGTAGTGGTGTGAATAGTGCTGTGTCCTCTGAAGATCTGGCTCGATCGAACTCCTTAACTCGACCCACCTCATCGAAATCTAACCGAAAAGTGCCTCTAGAACACATAAGGCCCTCTCATCTTGATCTGAAAGCATTAGATTCTCGAAATCAGAGCTCGGCATCTCTTCCAGAACTACGAAAGCCAAATATACCTACTAGACCAGCAACTCCTGTTACAGCTGGTCTCCCGACAAGGCTGACTGAACCCATCAATAAGAGATACTCTCAACATTCACACAGTGGAAAACTCCTGACTCCAGTGTCATTGACTCAGAAACAGAAAGTTAAACTATTAAGGCAAAATTATTTCCGTTCTCAAACCCAGTTCCTCAGAGCTCTCGAGGATATATCAAATCGCCTAGTTATTGTTCCCAAGCCCGCGCGTCTCAGTGCATTACGCGCCGAGCTTGCTCTGATCGCACAGGATTTACCAGCAGAAGTTGATATACCAGTCATTTGTCCCGCTACCCTCGTGGATGGAATTCCTAGCAAAAGTAAACATCACCGTATCGTTCGTTTGAACCCAGCCGAAGCGACTGTATTGAATAGTGCGGAGAAAGTACCATATCTCTTGATGGTAGAGGTACTTCGAGACGACTTCTCCTTCAATCCGGAAACCCTAGAAAATGACCGTTTATTGAGCCGATTAGTGTCAGAAGAAGGAACGCATAAGAGACGAAGGTTCGACCTTTCAGAATCTGGACGATCATACAGTAACAACAGCATCAAAAGTACGGATAATACCCTCGACAGTGTTTTTGAGCCAGTCAATGGCGATTTGGGCAGCTCACCATTAATCAAAGAAATAGATCATGATGATGAGGATGCTCAGACGCCAACTTATAAGGAGAATGTAGCAACTCCCCGGCCGGCACAGACATCAAGCGGTACAACAACTCAATCGAGCATATCCGGCTTCGTAACACCTAGGACATCCGGAACATCAACATCGAGATCTAGCAGCCCCACACCGAAGAGGAAGACGACACTTCCTGGAGTTGGTAGATCAGGAGAAAAAGACCAACCAGACTTTTCTACTCTTACAACACATATCAGGACCGCTACGCAAATGCTTACCCAGCTCAATTCGACGAGCGGGAAGAGGCCTAGACATGAGGTCGATGCAATTCGTCATAAAATCATTGCCAGCATACAAAGTCTGGAGGAGCAAAGCTACGATTTGGAAGACATTGGACAATCACAAACATTCGATATGATCATGGAAAAAGCGAATGCAGCAGCAGCAGCAAGTGTTGCACCGGAAGATATTGACGCAGAATCACCATCTGATTCGGATGCTGTTATTAATGTTGGAGCTGGTGCAGCCCGAATGGAGAACGATCAGAAGACTGGTGGTGTTCAGAGAAAAGGGGACAGAGATGATCCGAGCGCTGCGACATTTGGAGAAGCCTGGAACGTCAAGAAAGAACGAATCAGGAAGTCATCGCCATATGGGTGGATGAAGAACTGGGATGTCTTGAGTGTCATTGTAAAGACAGGTGCTGATTTACGGCAAGAGGCATTTGCATGCCAGCTCATCCAAAGCTGTGATAAGATTTGGCAGGAAGCGGGAACCCCGGTTTGGGTCAAGCGAATGAGAATTTTAGTCACTGGAGAATCGTCAGGTTTGATCGAGACAATTACGAATGGTGTATCTTTACATTCACTCAAGCGTAGTCTCACACTTGCTACTATTGAGTCTGGTCAAAACCCTCGAAGACGAATTGCCACATTGAGAGATCATTTTGTTAAGACTTTTGGACCTCCGGAGAGTGATGCCTATAAAGCGGCAGAAGACGCATTCAAACGGTCACTTGCGGCGTATAGCATCATTTCTTACATTTTGCAGTTAAAAGATCGACACAATGGCAATGTTCTTATTGACAATGAAGGACACATCATTCACATCGACTTTGGCTTCATGCTTTCCAATTCTCCTGGATCAGTTGGCTTTGAAGCTGCCCCTTTCAAGCTAACACAGGATTATGTTGATGTTCTGGGAGGTGTTGGATCACCTGCTTTTGATGATTACAAAAAGTTGTGCAAACAGGCTTTTCAAGGTATGCTTTCTACGATAATTCTGGGCGATGATTGTCTAACGAAATGTAGCGCTACGAAGGTCTGCAGATCATCTAATCGATCTCGTTGCTATGATGGGACGAGAATCGAAGATGCCCTGTTTCTCTTACGGAGTTGCTCAAGCAACAAATAGTTTGAGGCAGAGGTTTCAACTTCAGATGAGTGCGGATGAGGCAGAAGCTTTTGTGGAGACTGACTTGATTGGGAAGTCTTTGGGAAGTTATTATACACGATTGTATGTTGTTCCGCCGCTTTCTTGGTAGATGGTTGAAGGCTAATATATATGCATAGATATGATACTTTCCAATACCGTACACAAGGTATATATTAGCTGGTGGAACAGGTAGGCATGCTGTACAGTTTTGCCAGAAAGTGTAAGCGTTTGGACTGAATGTATTGTGATTGGCGTGGCGTTGGATAAAACCATTGAGCTGATTGATTTATGTTTCGCATTTACGGTGTAGCGATTTGTGAGAGGTGACCAAGTATCCTTGTAGTAAGGGAGAAAATAAGAGATAGAAGGAGCAGAAGAGATGTGATTTTTTTTGACATACAGGAGACTTGGCTTGACCTTTCGAATGATATGGAGATTTCAGTCTAAAATGAGGATATTTTATCTCCGCAGAAATTCCCCCAAACACCGTTTTGTTTTGACTAGCTGATTCAGATGAGGGAAAGGATTCCTGCTCTGCGTTCTTTCGCAGTGTCTTTTTAAACCTCTAATGCGAACAGCATTTGAGCTGAGAATGTTGACCGCGGGCAAGAATAGGACTGGAATCAAAGCTTGATAAGTTGGCCGAATTTCTTTGCATGTAAAATTGTACAGGGGATATTTGAGTTTTGACATTTTACTTCGGGACATTGCGATTTTCCTGGACCTCTGAGAACATAATATGCCCATGCCCCTACCAACACTCGGGTCAAACCCCATGACCGAGTTGCTGGTACTATTTAACATGGTTTGATTGGTCTATATGAGATATATAGAACATTCGGCTTTCTACGTTTTGCCTCACGATCATCATGTTTCTGGATTCATCTAGAGAGAGAGAGGCTTAATACAAATAATAACCGATACGATACTCCAACATTTACCTCCAGATCACCACAACCACACTTTGCAGCTTGTCTGTCTCAGGGATCAAAATAAATCTTTGATTTGTCGGTGAACAAAATAACGTTTCTTGGTCTTTGGTCTTGCGTATGTAGCTGTACCTCGTGTTACTAATAAGTAACCTGACCTAGTAGTGTAGTGGCAAAGAAGACTTGAAAGGAGCGGATAAATAGTAAATGCAGTCGGATGGATGCATTCAAGCATTAAACTATTTACGTTCAAGGAAGAAGATGATCCGATTTTCGAGAAGCAGCGAAGAAAATTGATTGGTCAAGCCTCCAGGTGAGCCTATGTTGAAGCTTAAAATGGGGAAACCCCCGCAATTGAGGCTTACTCCATGGGGTTGAACACATTAGGAGGCGGCTAGTTAGGCGTTGCTAGGCGTTGCCGGGTCTGGTTAAAGGTAAAGGTTTAAACCCTGTCCTGTCAAAAATGTGGAGTTGCAATTAGGCTAAATACTAAAATCATCAGTCTTTTCCCTTCCAGATGTTTGTCTCTGAAAATTTCCACCAATTGATGAATATCACGATGCGGCTGGGAATATATCCTCGGGTGTACAAATACAGATTCGACATGGTATCTCGTCCTTGAGTTGGTAGTGGTCGAGTACATGGTGATCTTTCGTCTTCCTATGGTGTGGAATGTTGGCGTAAATGGGGAACTGCGCTGCGTTTCCACTTATCCATATTCCAACACAGAGGTTCGTTTTACCCGCTGCATTTACTCATGTTACTTACCTGGATGTACGTACCAATTGAGGGAATGCCTTGACAGGGTCGTATTCTTCCTTCTCATATATAGTTGCGGTACCATGCCACTTCATGTTGTCCCCACCAAGAATTTCATTCTTGAAATCTTTTTTGTTCTGTTCTTGAGATTGACAGAGTAGTTCCAGTGGAACAAGGTTGACAAGATGGGCAAGCTTTTTAATATTTCGTTGGCGATGTTTGCTGCGACTGGGTGAGTTTACCTTTTCATCTAGATATTGTCTCTAGTGAAGTGGTGAGGTTAGAAGTTCGTTCTAACATGCAGTTTCCAGATCATTTCTTTTTGGTTACGATTCAGGTGTTATGACAGATGTGATAGCCTCCCAGAACTTCCTCACTTTCTTCAACACGACACAAGATTCCTCTATCATCGGTGCCATCAACTCTACATTCAATGGAGGTGCTGTGTTTGGTGCTCTTCAGGGTGGTCTTACTATGGATCGATTTGGTCGAAAAATTACCATTTTCATGGGCGCTTTGATTTGTCTCGTTGGAGCTACGCTACAGACTGCCGCGCAGAATCTTCCTATGATGCTCGTGGGTCGTATTTTTACAGGTTGGGCCGTCGGTTTGCTTAGTATGGCTGTACCGGTATACAATGCAGAGTGTGCGGATCCGAAAATTAGAGGATTGATTGTGGGACTGAGTCAACAGATGATTGGAGTGGGATTTATTGTGTACGTTGATTCCGTCTCTAGAATTCTGAGACGAGTTACTGACATTTTCAAAGTTCAACTTGGGTAGGCTATGGCTGTGGTGTTACATCCGACAAGAGCTCTATTCAATGGCGAATTCCACTCGCGGTACAGCTGATTCCTTGTCTTATTCTCGCCTCTGGTATTATGTTCTTCCCCGAATCACCTCGACATCTCATGGAAACCGATCGTGAAGAGCAAGCATTAGTCATTTTGAGGAAGTTGCATTCCGATGGTACAAATGACGAGTTTATCGTCAAGGAATTTAATGAAATCAAGGAAACCATTGCTGCGGAAAAGGCAATCACAGTACCGGGATGGAGAATTATGTTTACAGTACCGCAATGGAGAACGAGATTGGGCCATGGAGTTGCTGTTCAAGCTTTTACTCAGTTTACTGGAATTAGTAAGTTTTGATGATAAGAGGTTGGAGGGAGAGTTACTGACATGAATTAGACGTTATCGGTTACTACCAAAATACTATGTACAAGGCGTTAGGAATTACTGGAAATAAAGCTTTACTCGTCACAGGAATTTACAACTGCATGGGACCCTTGGGAAGTAAGTTGACGTACGACCAGGTACATATACACCATGTAGACAATAAACTAACAACAAACCGCAGATCTCATTTTCATCAGTTTCATGATCGATAGAGTAGGACGTCGCAAGCCACTTCTCTGGGGGACCGTCGGTATCACTATTGCCCTCGTTTGCCAATCTATAATCAACAGTCGCATCGACGCCGCAAATCCACAACACGGTCTTTCCATCGGTGGAGTCTTCTTCATCTTCTGCGTCACGGTCATCTTCTCCTTCTCATGGGGTCCCATCTCCTGGGTCTACATGTCCGAAGTAATGCCCATGCAAATTCGCGCTCGTGGAAATGCTTTCTCAACCGGAATTGGTAATTGGCTCGTAGCTACTTTCTGGGCTCAAGTTTCTCCTATGGCTTTGAAGCACTTAACGTGGAAATTCTATTTCTTATTTGCTGGTTCGTTGATTTTTTCTTTTCCCCTTTTTTTGAAAAGAAAAAAAGAATCTTAGGGAATACCTAGTTTACTAACGAAAACAACTCATAGCATGGAACGTAGTAGTTACCATCCCCGTCGTATTTTTCTTCTTCAAAGAAACCAAACAACTCTCCCTCGAAGAAATCGATCTCCTCTTCGGCGAGCGTGCACTTGGTACCCTACCAGATGATATATCCAAGGGCTTGGAGACTGAACATCATGAAATGCATCCTAAAGGTCAAGATGAAGTTTAAGGTTTTTAGTTTTAATGACGTGTGATGATATTGGGAAGAACAATAGGTTTCGGACTTTGGGTATTCGGATTCGGATTTCGGTGGCGGGTATGGTTTGAATAGATATTAATTTTAAGATCTTACCCAAACTAAGTCTTATCTTAATATTTATTATATAGTAAGAATTGATTGAATAATACATATGTAAGAATTACCACGATCAGTCATAAAGAAAAAATGACGTTCTGTCCTCGAAGTGAAGTACTCCTAAAGATATATCCCGACATTTCTTTCTTTTTATAAACATAAATTCTTGAATTAATTAATAGCAACTATTGTAAGTACACAAATCACCAAAACAACTCAACGAATAAACAAATAAGAAGACGCAAAAAGCAGTACCTACTCATACCCGTTCTTCCTTCCCAATAACTTCTCCATATTAGCAAATAGACTATTTCAATAATTCAATTCAATTCATTATACTAAATTACCTAACCCCTCTCCTCTCCCCCCTCCCCCCTCCACACCAAAGAAACCCAGGTACCATAAAGAAAGAAACACTCACTCACTCACTCATTCATTCATTCATTATTTACAAAATCCCAGAACAGCCACTACACAACACACAAACGAACAAAGGATATTAATTCTTCTTCTTCCACAAAATGCACAAAGCAAAGCAAAGCAAAGCGAAGCAGCAAATTATCTATCTACTGTATCGTCTATATTGTGTGCTATGTACATTGGGAAAATTAATTCGATATCAGATGAGAGGATAGGAATGGAGAAGAGAGGATAGGGACTTTTATATTGAATTGAATTGGATTAAATTGTGTTTTATGTATTTTGAATTTTGATAAATCTTTATATATATATACCGGAGCTATAGGTAGTTATAGCTATATCTATGAATTAACACATCATTTATCATTTATCATTTACCATCCGACCATCCATCCATCCAACCACCACAAACCCAAAAACACCAAAAACACCAAAACCTCACCCCGCAGCTCCCACAAATCCAAATCCAAATCAAAAAAAATGGGCGACACCCCCTCCACACAATCCAGCCCCACTTCCACGCAACCCGACTCCAACGAATCCTTCAGCCCCATCACACTCCTCCACAGCCCACCCCGCCGCCTCCTCCTCCCAGGCGAAAGCATCACCTCAGCCGAAAACCGGCTCGGTTTCCGTCTCGACGAAGAACCCCCAAAACACACCCGCGCCGCCACGAGAGAAGCCCTCGCGCGGGGCGCCGCCTGGCTAGCCTCCGAACCACTATGGAGCATGGCAAGCCGGATGGGGCCGGAGCCCGCATGGAAGGGGGTGAAGATTCTCGGGGAAGGGGGGAATGGGACGGCTGGGAAATGGGAATTGAGGTATGGGAGGCCGGCGGAGGGGACGCAGGGACGATTACCTTTTAAGACGTGTGTGGTTAAGCAGCAGGCGGGGGATTGGGGCGATATAGGGAATGAGGCGAAGATTTATGAGGTTTTGAGACATGCTTCCTCGCAGCATGTTGTTAAGATGTATCGGAGGTTGTATGAGGATGTTGGGCTGGGGACTGTGAGGGCGGATTTGAAGGGGCCGGTGCAGAGGATTTATTTGGAGTATTGTGCGCAGGGGGATTTGTTCGATATGATAAGTAAGAAGTTCAAGGAAAAGTAAGTTTTCGTCATGTCAGCGATGGTCGTATATTCGTTAACTTGCTAGACAATACTTTGACGAATATGAGATTTGGGATGTATTTCATTGTTTAGCCCGCGGTCTGTATGCTATGCATTCTGGGCATGAAAATCTTGATGAGGAACGATGGGATCGAGATGAGATAGCTCATTTTGATTTTAAAGGGCAGAATGGTATGTTAAAAGCCCGAGCACTTTTCTGATTCAACAGCTGCTTAACATTCCCTAGTCTTCCTTGGCGATGGCATAAGAGACGAAGAACACAAGGGAGCTCGTGTGATGAAGGTACTATTGTCCAATTGTGGATATACCGCCTCCCTACCACTAATCGACACCCTAACATTATGATAGATTGGCGATTTCGGGAATGCAAAAGAGGTGCCTGTCAACCAAGACCTCGCTTACAATTTCCATTATAGATGGTGTGGCACAGAACCTTATAAACTACCTGTAAGTTAGTCAGTCATATGATACTCGACAATACAGTCACTAACTCGTGTGCAAGGAGCAACTCAGAACTCGAGAGCATGAACTCGATCGGCCTTGGATGGATAAAAGCGTAGGTACAACATTAATTATACTTCTCCCTTCCAGCTTCCCCTTTATTGAAAACACTGACACGCAAATGTAGCCTAAAACCATGTGGGAGGCAGGCGACGGAAATATCCTCAAAAATCTTCGCTATGGAACTCACTCCAACGTCTGGCAGCTTGGAATTATAATATGGCAAATGATCCATTGTACGGAATGGGAACACAAAGATCTACCAGACACTGAATATATTTGCAAGGGTGACGTGCAATGGCCGGATACCAAGTTCTTTCGACCAGGTCCTAAGGGAAGATTTGAGCTTAAACTTTATAAAGTAGCCAGTACTTGGCTTGGCAAGAATGATGCAGTGGGTGGAGTACATACTCTTGCTACGCAAGACGATATAGACTATTACAACGGAATGTATGATGCGCTACCAGCTGAGCCGAAAGCCAACGCTGATAAAACCATTTCGGAAGCAGAACGCCAAATGAATAGGAAAATGCGAGCAATTGAAAATCGTGCGAGGGCAACTATTCGCGAGGACCGACTATATAGCGATACGTTGCACAAACTGGTGATGGATTGTTTGATTGTACAAGGAGAAGCTCGAATCCATGTCAAAGACTTATATCGAAAGACGCAAAGGTTCAAGAATTTCTGGCGAGCAAAGAAAGGACCAGAACTACCACCTCCCTATGTACCCGAACCTGAACTGGGAGAGCTCCCGGCTCCGTGGGACGATACCACGAGAGAAAGTGGCGGAGGCCTAGGCAGACCCGTTCCAGAAGGATTCGAATCCCGTCCTCTCGGTCTCTTTGATCTGTTTAAGGCGACCCGGAGATATGAAAGGGCGGAGGAAATTATAAATTGGTCTCGGAAAAACCCAATTGGGGATGATGTGCCGGATCATGAGGTGAACGAGGCACAGAGTCTCATAATACGCAATGCCAGGCACATTATCGGGGTAAGGAATGAACTACGCATGTTTGGGGGCCAGAGACAAAAGCCTAACCCCCCAGTACCCCATCCGTTTCCGAAAGGGTTCATATATGATCGACCCGGGGAAGATAAGGGAGCCGCAGATCCTGGGACGGGCGTTGTGCAACCTGGACAGGGTCCTAATCCCGACCCACCTCCACCTCCGCCAATATCCGGAGAACGAGCGACTCATGACAAAGGAAACCCAAAAGAACCAAGGGATTTTTCTTTTGAAGCTACGCCTGTAGACATGAAAGGTCAACTACCGGTACCTCTTCCAGGGGGCGCAGGAGCAGATTTTAAAGAAAAATCAAAAGATAAAAGCAAGAGGAGAAGCAAAAGCGGAAGCAAAAAAAGAAGCAGAAGTAAAAGCAAAACACCCACCTGGCCCGAATTCCCCATCGGACTACAAACCAGCCTCAACAAATCCTTCCTCCAACAGGCACTCGAGATCCCCGAACTCAAAAACACAATTTTATTCTGTACAGTAATTGACAAAAGCGGAGGAACAGAAATGCTCAAAGGTATTATATATCTAACAGGATTACTGCCGACGACGACGGTATATCAGATGAAAGAGATGTTGAGCGAAAAGGAGACGGGAATTCCGGTGAAAGATATGAAGTTGATGGGGCAGGATCGATTGACTGTTTTTAGGGAGTTTGAGGATGAGGAAACTAGAGCGGCGATATATGAGATTGAGATTTGTGTTTATGATATTACGAGGGTGTGAGTTTAGGGTAAAGTGAGAATGAGGGTCTTTTAGGATAGGAAAAAGGGATAAAGATAAGATAAGGTAGATTTATTTCGGTTTTGTTTTGGGTCAAAAATTGAATTCATATCGAGGAAGAATTTATATAATGTTTCATGCATCTGAACGTCTCGTCATCGACGAGGAGTAGTGAGATATTATGTAAGCAATTTCCCAATCTCAGACCAATACCTCGAAATGCTCATCAATAATAAACAAAGTCACAATGTCTGAGTCCTGACTTAGGAATTGCCGCCCAGAGTCCCATGGTGTTTTCTTAAAAACTATCCATCATTCTATATGACAGATTCTAGAACTGTGGTATCATCAAAGCGACTAATTAGGCTATGGATACCCAAACACTTGTTTGCGGGCACCTTTTGCAATAACTGACTGTGCGTATCACTTTACTTTCAGCGAGAGGGAGTAATATGTGGTATATTATCTAGAAGTCTCATTTATCTAGTATAACCACAGCCATGATAACGCCTTGGAATCTATCCACCAATCTTCATGTCTTTCTCTAAGATATCATAATAAAGATATGAAAGTACACTATGTATGACGTGACCATCCATCCAGCCATACCCATGCAAAAGTCCCTGCCGTCCCATTTTCATTAGATAGTAACACCATTGATTCCATTTGTCAAACTCCCATTGACACTGTTAGCCAACTCAGCCTTCAAACAATCCTCCGTGATTTTATCCAAACACCCTGCTGCTGCTGCTACGAATCCCAAGTATGATTTGCTTGGAGCCAAGACTCGAGAGAGGTATTCCGGGTGGAATTGTACACCTACATACCAAGGATGATCTTTGATTTCAACAATCTCCATTCTCTCACCCTTGTCATCCTTTCCAACGAACTCAAGGCCACCGGAGTGTAGTCGGTCGACATACTCGGGGTTGACTTCATAGCGATGACGATGACGTTCATGGACTTCTGTTTTCTCGCCATAAAGCTTACGGAGACGGGACCATTCAGAGCCTGGTTGGAATTCTGTTGGACGTAATCCGAGACGCATTGTTCCACCAAGGTTTACCTTGTCAATTTCAGGCATGTATATAATGACTTTATCGGATGCGTTGGCATCCAATTCCACGGAATGAGCAGAAGTAATGCCACAAACATTGCGTGCAAATTCAATAACGGCAATTTGCATACCAAGACAGATTCCCAAATAAGGTGTCTTGTTGGTACGTGCCCATTTCGCAGCTGCAATCATACCCTCCGTTCCACGATCACCAAATCCTCCAGGGACAAGAATACCATCTGCAGTGCAGACCTCATGCCAAGCCTTGTGAAATTCGGTTGGCTTAGCATCATCCTCGAGGTGTTCAGCTTCGACCCAGATCAGATTAAGCTTCTTTCCGCATCGCATAGCCGAATGCTCGAGAGATTTGATGACGCTGAGATATGAGTCGTGAAGCTTGGTATATTTACCTACAAGAACAATGGAAACATCTTCAAATGAACGCTCTTGCTGAGTTGTAAGAGATTTCCATTCAGTCCATGTTCTCTGACCCTTTTCAACAAGGGCTTTTGCCATTGGAATTTCGTCGAGATTGAGGATTTTCTTCAATGTCGAGATAAGACCTTGCTGTTCAAGGAGTAAAGGAACGTGGTAAGTGGATTTGACGTTGTGTACACCAATAACCTGTTCGCTTTCAACTTGACAGAACATTGCGATCTTTTCGACAGTGCTTTTTTCGAGTGGAACATCGCATCGACAAGCAACCTAGAATAATTAGCTTTTAAAACTTAGAAATGTTTTAGTTTGGGAATTTACCAAGTCCGGAACTATTCCAGCTCTACCAACGTCTCTGATGGCTTGTTGGGTTGGCTTCGTCTTCTGCTCACCCTGAATGACAGGCACCAATGAAACATGGATTTGCAAGAAGTTGCCTTTTCCAGCTCTTCTCTTCAATTGTCTCATGGCTTCAATAAATGGCGCACTTTCGATATCTCCAACAGTACCGCCCAATTCAATAATACAAACATCCGGGGTCTCTTTTGTGTCGTCGACAGGAATTCGCGCAACTCTCTCAATCCAATCTTGAATTGCATCGGTCAAATGTGGCACAACTTGTACCGTCTTTCCGAGATAATCGCCTCTACGTTCACGTTCGATGACATGCTGATAGACCTTGCCCGTGGTAATGTTGTTTTCGCGAGTGAGTGTGATGTTGAGATAGCGCTCATAGTTTCCGAGGTCGAGGTCGACTTCTCCTCCATCATCAAGAACAAAGACTTCTCCATGCCTATAATTAAGCATTAGCTCAATCCCGATGTTTTCGCAGATAGGTACAGTAGACGCACTCGAGGGGGTTCATGGTGCCGGCATCAACGTTCATGTAAGGATCAATTTTGATGGATGTGACGTTCTTTCGAAGTTAGCGTCCTGCCTAATTTGTTACATCTTGGGAACATATCTTTAACCCAATTGTCTTGAGTAACAAGCCGGTGGAAGAGGCTGTTGCGCAACCACTTCATCAGTACAATTTTCATTCGTATCATCTATATCTCGTTGTCGTCGTTCTTCATCATTTGTGTTGAAACATACCGATGACGCCCTTTCCAATGCCGGAAATCACACCTAGAGAGTCATGTTAAAACCGAATTCTCTTCCATTCAACCGCAAGATTATTAAAATCATGTACATACCTCCAGATACAAGAACGTACTTCATCTTGAAAAGCTTAATGAAATTTATGGTACCCTTCCTGGCTTATGCCAGAGGGAAGGAGGAAAGAAAAAAGGAAAATCTCAATTGAAAGTTTAAAGTTTTTGGTGGTGGGGGTTGATGGTTACCTTGAGCTAATCCTATCTTGGATTTAATGGGCGGGGTTGATGATTAACCTTATTTGTGGATCTCAGCCTTTTTCTGTATTGCAGCCTTGACATTGATAGAATTATAAATTTATGATTGTCCAAACGATCCAAAGTTGTCCAGATCTAGATAGTATATGGGTACTTAAAGACTTACTGATACATATATCAATTAGACCAATAGAAGGGTAAAACTCTCCTAGAAAACTAGTTTCACAAAAATCTGGAATCTAATATTGATATTAGTATGGTAGATCATCTCTCTCAAATTGTTTAGATCTCTCCTCGGATATGATGTCGAAATACCTAGTAGTTTGATAGCCAAGCACATAGACAATTGGAAACACCTCAAGGGAAACCGGGTTTCCGTAGAGTGGATGGATTAAGAATCCAATGTTGCCTAGATCAACTCGGATATCTATCTAATTAGCTACTAGGTAACTGGGTATATTTAGGTAGTTAAGTGCTAGGTAGCTCTTCTCGCCAGCTTTTCTAGGTAGCTAGGGCGAACTCCCAAGAAGAAAAGAAGGGGGAGAAAAGAGAGAGAAAATGAATAAACATATCATTTTAATTGCTATTGGTTATATATTCATAAGCACTCCTATATCATTCATCCATTGCTATAATAACAATCTGTTAAAATGCAAAATTTGGGTGAATTTTGATCATAATACCAAAGATTCCCTCAAAAGCCAGTACAATTTATCAGTACAATGCCGATGCCAATGCCAATGCCAATGCCATGCCCTTCCTTCTCATAATTTCATAAAGTCGTATCGTTGTCCAAATATCATCATCACAAAAGCAACCATTTTGAGACGCTAACGCCTTCTTTCAACGGACCAATAATCAATCCGATGCAAAAATCGGAATTCATAAGTCTTCATCCTCACAACCCGAGCCACCATTCACTAGACCTGGGGCCGGTTCTTCATCAATATTTCCAGCGAGAATTGGTTTACATACCTCCCATCTCATCATCGTCATCTTCTTCTTCTTCCTGTCCTCCTTGGCCCACCATAGCGATCGTCTTCGCATTTCCTTTCTTGATCTTGAGAATATTGGGATACCCTTGACTAACCAGAGATTTGGCTAAGTCCGAACTAGGCCTCATACCTTCAAAATCTTTGGCATTGTGGACTTTAAAAATATTGCTCAAAAGCGGACTCATGATTCCATTCTTTTGACCCTTCCCCATCCCAGCTGGATCTATCAGTGTTAATCTGAATTTCAGTCGATAGTCTCCCGGGAATCGAACTGATAAGTCGGCAAAAGTGAAGAAGAATCGTTCATCCCCCTGAGGATCTAGTGCCTTGAAACCGTTACAGACCATAGTTCCTACCATTCTCCTTTGGTTCCGCCGATCACTACTTCCCTCAATCTTGTCGTCCTCGCAATTCGTGTATGGATTCCATAATGTGCAATGCACTATCGGCATAAAATTCTTCAAAATTTTCTTTCTGTCTTTTGGATTCACAGGTTGGCCTGTGTCCTTATCAAATACTTCAAGCGTCAGGATTGGTGGCGGGTCTATCATTCGACGATCCTTGTCTCCGTATCCACAAGCTCTGGCGGATATTGGTTGTTGCATGACGACCAATCTACATTCCGGCTGTGGGAGCTTGGGGCCCTTTGAGCATAATGAGCCTTCATCCATTGCGATGGATACCAAAAAAACATACCTGGGAGGAGCAAATGGACCATGGTGATGAGCTGCAACAGATCCTTTCCTGGTCGCGAACACCTCTGACATTGGCGTGGGCGGGCACGTCGAGTATGGTGAGAGAGGGCTCTGCGAATGTTTGAAGGAACGTTCAAGTTCTCGAGGACTTCGTTCTTGTTGATGCAGGTACATGGGCCTATCCAGTGCCATTGGAGATCGTGGCCCTTGCGACGGCGGACGATATGAGTCCTCAAATGCCTGACCCTCTTCAACTTGTCCCGGTGGTAAAGATGATAGCAATGAAGATATGGGTGGGAGTCGTGGTGGATTGAAATTGGGCTTCTGCGCCCTATCATCGCCATTGTCGTGATATGGAAGAGGTTCTACCCCAAAGCTCATGGACCTGCCATCAGATGGCTGATAAATTGGCAGCGCGTCGCGATTTGAATGGTACATATTGAAGGAGATTGTCAAATATATCGTGATATTATAGACGGTCGGCGGATTGGAATCGGTTAGAGGTATCTGCATAGGCTACTAGTAAGTATCTAGCATATTAGAGCTTAATAACTGAGGATGGACATGTGGAAGAAGTGTTACCTTCAGGTGTCATTAACGTTTCGAGATGCGAAAGGAAATGACGACAGTAATTGCTGAAGCACAGATGAAGTGCTATATAGATGTGGCCGAGGAGGGCGAAGTATAAGGTATTTGTTCGATTGTTCGAAGTCCGATTGCGAGTGCATGAATGAGCGTTGGAACCAAGTTCAATATATGTGTAACTTCAAAAGTACAAATGATGGAGAGGAAAAGAGAGCAACTCTTCATTGATGGTCGTGGGGAAAGCTGTGGGGAGATATAGGAAATCCCATGGAGGACGACACAGGAGTGACAGGAGGCATGGCAGTGGTTGGAGCCTTCTAACAAGCTGTGAAAAACCCAGGAACCGGGTGAGTGATATTGTGAGTGCTACCTCGCTCATGGAGAGATGTTTGGTTGGTTGAAATAACTACTCGTGCGGGAAGGAGGTGTGGTGTGTTTGGTGGATTTGTCTTGAATTACGAAGAATGACTGGCGGACGAGTCTACTGCAGCCAAAGTTTCGACACGCCCGGCCTTCCGCGATATTGAACATGCGGATAAAGTGCCAGCTAAGGATTTGCTTCTCTTCTTTGGGTTAAGACTTGACCGGGTAGGAAATGGCTTTGACATTTTGCGGTCTTTTAACTTTTTAATTTTTCCCTTTTGACAAGGCTTGAGGTGTGCAGCTGCTGGTGGGCTGTGATGTTTTACGGTTTAAAGAGCATCTCCGGGATTGTAACATTTAACATTTAACTTGCATTTGTAAGTGGATGTTAGAGCTTTAGAGGTGCCACTAAAGTTCTAGTTCCCGCTCCTCCATCCGTGCACTATATGCACCCTATTAGCACTAGAATCATAAGACATAACCGCACATCCGCACTATTATTACTTTAAAATTCTTTTCGGAACGACATTTACTCTGTCTGGTCTAGAAATGCTTCGAGAGGATCTTCAATGTCCATCTGTAATCATATATTACCCATATCCACTTATCATATTTACATTTATGGCACACTTTAGAAGAAATTTCACGAGTTTTTGAATTTCCAAAATAGCAAAGGGTTTGGGGGGGCTTGGTTATTGCAGGGAAAAGTTGACCGACTAGCCTGATCAAATACTTCCGACATACAGCAAAGCTGCAAAGCTGCAAAGTATCGAGGTAGCAATGTAATGCTGGTGATGCGCTCAAAGATGGTGATGGTGGTAGTCATGGGCGGTGGTGTTAGAAGGCTAGGAACTACGATTATAATCCATGGTTAAAACCCCCGAACTCTTCATCCATTGATGCATCTAATCATCACTCAATACCCGCTCATTCGCTACCATCCATTGTCACCAGTTTTTATGTTACTCTTATTTCTCCTCCCCCTCTTCTCTCATCTCTTTTTACCACCACACCGCTAGCATATCACTCCATCTGTTGCGCAAGGTCGCGCAAGAAAGCATTCTATCCATGACGAACATTCTTCCGCTTGCCGGCTCCCTTGATTCGTCATGTCCATTGGAGGGAGGACAAGCGCAGATGCTGGTGACCTCGCTCAAGGCTTAATGGAAATATAATTCTTTCCGTTACTGAGTTTGAGTGTATCACGTTTCACGGAAGATGGGTGACAGACACAAATTACCTATCATTGGCCCACTAACAAACATGTCTCCGAAGGACATGAGAGATCTTTCAGGGCATATCCTGTCATTGTTGCTTCTTTCACATCTCTTCTCTTCCTAAAGTTATCGTGGATTTCCATCATTCGTTACAGAAAACTTTTCAGCCAAGGTCATAAACCCACCAGAATGATTCAATACGATGTCGATCTACTGCATTCACAGACTCACTTATTGCGACTTCTGTCACCTATTACCATAAACACATGCACTTATGACGCTTTAATCTCTTCATTTCAATCATTAAATCAGCACAAGTTATACAGAATATGAAAAGTCCTGAAAGGTAACTTATGCCGAGGCAGTCTATCTATCTCAAACCGCAGCAACGGATCTTTGACTAAAATCGTCGAGGTAATTTAGCGAATCATATGGCATCTGAAGATTTCGAAGCAGGGAATAATCAGATCATTATCCGTGTCATTAACTATATTTTTCGAAAATGAAAAGGAGTTGCATAAAGAATACCTACCTACCTACCTACCGACCTACCTACCGACCTACCTATAATGCCAACAACCAAGGTCTGCAGCATCCAGATATTAATCACAACATCTACCAAAAGAGAATCCTGTTTGGTCACTCACATGCAGTGCTCAGCATCTCTGATGCCTAATTTATACAAGAAATTTAAGAGACAGAACCTTTTCGGAAGCAGAGCCTGGTCAATTTTGTACCACATATCGTACCTGCTCAACAAAATTCTTCCGACACCACCTTGATCGTAATTCCATTCATAAACTTCGTTCTTCGAAGATTGCGGCTTCAGAATTGTGACGTTTAATGGATTGAATAAAGAATTTGCGGCATACGGACATTCGGAGGATTAGCTTTAGTATATGTTACCTTTCCCCACGAGGAACCAAGATAGGTTGACTTTCGGTAAGATAATCAAAGGTGCTGCCACTACCAGGTTGAACAGAGCTCACAAAGCCAGTATATCTCCAGGAACATGGTTATTGGCTATCCATCCGACATGAAGACCAATGTCTTTCCTTCGTTGCTGACCACCAAGATAGATATACTTTGTGGATGACACTCAGACGGCACTTTCCGGTTTGCTCTATTACTTTGTCTTGTGGTTTGTAGCTAAAATAGACAGGGGCTTCTTTTATCAAGGGAGATACAGACATCTGTCAACGGATAAGAACGAACGATGACAGCCGTTGAAAATACTCCCCGCTCCTTCAGAAAAATACCCCGGGTACCTAGGATGAAAACTTGATTTCATTGCCACAGCACAGATCTCGGTAATACCAAGATACCGTAGCCCCGACGGCTCCAATGCGTTCGTGCGGTAAAGGAATTGGTGTACAATTGTACCGTGGTTTGAGGAGCTCATTGGTCCCTCTCGCCGGGTTGGTGGATCTAGTGGCCTTCTACAGTAATTCCCAGAAAGCTTGGTCTGTACCCTACCGAAGATGGAAATGGATGGCTTTACTCGCGTGTAACATCGGGGCTACCCCGCTCCATTCAGGGTTTGATTCCCAAGACGATGGGAAATACATTGAACTTTTCCAAACTGTTTGGAAATTAGCCTGGAATTTACCAGAAAGATGGCCGTTGTACGAATTACGGAGCGAGTTCCTTGTGTCTTTTAATTCTCGCACATATTTTTAAAGGTTTCAGGGGAACTTACGGGTACTTCAGAAACATCAAACGTGCAACAACCCGAATGCAGGGTGAGCCTGTATATTTGTCACTTTTGGTAAAGCTCTGAAAGCCTAATGTATGGCGCATCCTATCAATTTTTGCTAGACTGTCATTACCCTCCGAGCTCTTGTCGATTGGCCAAGATGGTTAATCATCTTACCCACAAGGACTCTAGGTCTAGATTCTCAATGCGACAAACAAGTGTGCCGTGACTTGCATACCTATCTTGAGTCACCTTGGTTCTCAGGGGCATGTCATCTGATCATGATATCTCTTGATCCCGGATATACTGGGAATTGGACTCATTTTGGGGTTACCTCCTTTCAACATCTATGCCTCTATGTATCATGCCAACGTGTTAGGACGAGGGATATGTGCTTCAATTATCCAGGGAGACCTTGGCATTGGGATATTCATAGTCTTGATCTCCAGACACTACCTCAAGGATACCCACTTATCTCTTCACGGATGACCTAGTGGTCCATCTGATCTAGAGACACAGCGTGGAATGAAAGATGGTAAATTTTGACAGCGATGAGTTTTCATGACACAACATAAGTATGGATCTCGTGTTACTCGTCATAAGAAAGAATTTTGGGAAATCTGCGACGAAGGCTTGGTGCAGAATGCAGTGCACCTTCAACTCTCAGACGAAGGAATTCTGTGAAAACGGTAAACACGTTGACGGATGATACTTTGCATTTGACTCGGAGATTTTTCATTGAGCTTCCTGTCGCCAACGAAGCATTTTTTGGAAACCTTGCACCCCAGAAAATTCACTTCGTTTTCGTGCATGATTATTCCTGAGCTTGATTCAATCTAATATCCAGTTTACTTCAATCACTCACCGAATACCAACCTTGTACGGAACCCACCTTGGTGCACATACACGAACACTTACGACCTACCCTTCCTCTTCAATTTCCACGAAATAAATCCCCTCACCACGCTATTCCAAATCGAATATGCATACACCGGAGGATATTGTCACTCCTTCAAAACCCCTTGCCAAAGACCCCAGGACGAGAATCAGTACTTACACTAGAGAGAAGATACATTGTACATATAGGTACCAAAAGCGCTATTTATGTTATAACTGTGCACTGTATGCATGCGGGAGAGTATATCCTCCGAACGGAATCATGAAGTCATGGAATTACAGAGCAAGTCACAAAGCACAGCTAGAAGACTAGTATCCGCGGTTTATAAATGGACATGAAAACATGAATTTGGATGTGAATGGATACCACATCACACAAATCGGTATTTGAATCGACATTTGTTAGCTATACAACTCTACAATGCATGAGACGAATCGAAAACAAAAATGATATCAAAGGTTCCAAACATTTATCTCCTATTTCATATCTATTTTCCTCTTCGTGCAGTATACTTACCAGACTTCAATAGACCAAGAAAATCTACTTCTGGAACCCCGCATGTCATCCCGCGCCATGGCTAACTCTACCCCATGCAAAGCATGTACCTGTGTTCCCATACGTACTTATTCCATGGTCCAGGGGCGTGGAATGGCCGAAGTCGGACGGGATGACCGTTTTGGGTTGTCCTTGCATTCATCTTATATAATTTGTAAGACTTACTCACCATAATTTCCCAAGTGAGGGGTTTCTGCTTTGGGCTTGACCGAATGGGTTTTATGCGCTTTTGATTTGACGTTTGGCGTGTACGATTGTTTATGGTCTGATTCCCACGTGTGGGAGGTCGAGGCTCTGGTGTTCGATGACAAACTGTGGACGGATGAAGTGGAGATTTTTACATGATTGCTTTAATTGGAGAAAGTACAAATCAATAGGTTGAGTACCGGTAGGTGTCATTTTACACTCCTTTTACCTTAATCTTAACCGAAATGAAGATCCGAAATCGTTTCCTCGAAACTCAAAATCTTGATGTTTTTCTCAGTGTCAATATCTCAAGACTATGTATGTACGTGCGTGCATGAGGCACATAAGTATTTGCCCCACCGCGAAGGATAACCGAAGTCACCTGTCATCAGGAAACAGTGCATAATTTTACGACCACAAAACAAAGGTTCCTCGGGAAACTTGAGAAGGAAGAAAGTTCTTTTCATTGCGAACCCGTTAATTAAATGCTTTCACTCCGGATTATATCTCGACTTTCAAAGTATCATATGCAGACTCTTCCTTCATCAAAAGAGAGCCGGAAGTGGCATTTCAATGGCTATTATTATTCATGGGGATGATGAGAGATAATAAGCATCCTCTTATCTACATGAAGAGGCAAAGGAAATTTTTAATTGTTGCTATTGACAAATTGTGGTTCAATGGTTAATGTCAGGCTGCACCTGCCGTTTGACAAAGGAGGATCTTTGATCCTGGGATTCTTTTCCATTTCTCCAAGTAATTG